ATAAAAAAACGTAACCCTTCGTTTTTCGCATAAAAATAACAATTATCTTTCGAAATGGTTTGTGATTCACGTCGGCAAGGTACAATCGTGTATTTTGCTATGAAATGCCCTTTGAACGAACTCTGTATATTGCTCAGTAAACTAGTAGTGGTGGCCAGAAGAGAGGTGTTTTGGGATAAACAATTAGAAATTCTCAAAAACTACTTGACCAATCGACTCCAATTTTGTTGTGGTTATTTGGAAGTTTGAAGAATTTCAAGTAGCTGCGTGAAATTATCGTAGCATTAGCAACAAATGCCAAAACCTGCATTTTGCCTCGATTTTCGGCCATAACTTTTTTAATATTAGTGGTATATTTTTACGTGTAGTCTCATTCTGTAGGTATCAGAAATAAAATGGGTTTTCTCATTCTTTGTTGTCGAATAAAAAGTTTTGCCACAAAAATTGGTGTTCCCATTTTATGCGTACATGTTTAAAATACCCCATTGAACAACTTGCATCAAAGTTTTCCCACAAAAATTGGTGTACCCATTTTATGCGTCCATGTTTTGAATACCCCTTGAGCAACTTGCAGCAATAAAACCAGACTTTACAATTATTTCGCGAACCAGGCGTATTTTTGTCTAATATGATTAGACTAAATCGGCTTGTAGCTTTTTAAGCTGAAATATCGAAAGATTCTACATTCAATTTGTATGTTTCATAAGATTATCACCAAACAAACTCCTGCTTATCTATATAACAAAAGTGGTTACAGCACTTCTACTCCTAGATTCTATACATCGTTTTTCAAAGGTTCGTTTTCTTCCAATGTCACTCGGCTTTATAATGAGGTACCGATTTCATATTGTGTCTATGAATTTATTTAAAAAAGCAATGAAGCGTTTTCTATTGGCCGATGACTATAATTTGAAACATACAGAATTAAATCCTTTTTTGTGTATACAACGGTTCATTTCTGTTTCACTTTTTTGGATCAAGTTTGTTGCTTGTAAGGTATCACGGTAAAGGTCTACTGTATTTTTTCGGTTGAATGGAAAATAGGATCTTTCTTTGTCAGGAAAGCAGCTAGAATTTGTTCAAATTCCATGTAATTTTTTTATGTGTGCTTATCTTGGCAATGAAAATCATTTCATATTATTATTATATACTATGTTCATCGGTCTGCTTGTCTGGTCTATCTGTCAGGTAATATTTGACTATTGTATAGCTCCTAACACTCTGATTTCAATGAAACGTTTACCCAAGATTACTGCTGTGGAGAGTATAAAATAATGTTGCAGGTTTTAACAAACCATGAAATTATGGTCAAAATGACAAAATTATGCACAAAACATATGCTTCAAATGTCGTCGATCATTTTTAAGAGAAGTTATAGATTTAGGCTGGTGTCTCTTAGAAACGGTGACCTTGTATCTCAAATGCAACGGGAACGCTTTGTTAACATTTTTAAGACAATGTTGCAAATAACGTAAATAAAAGACGCTTAGATTTTGAAAACATTTCAAATAAAAAAACTGATTAAATTGCATGTGAGATACAGAGTCAACCTACTTGACACCTTGTTTTGATATTGACCACGGATTCTTTATCTTCTAAGTTGTGGTGGGAACCTAGGAGACCTTTACAGTTTTTTGGAGCCCATCAGGATTTTGTCTACTACTGATTGTCCTTTTAGTCGTATGTTGTGGAGTAATGCACAGAGGTAAGCAAGGTAAATCATTCATTTTCATTATCATACCATATCTTAGGATTCGTAAGGTTATCAAGTTCATTTTTTTCGTGGAAAAAAAATTAAGTAGATAGCTCCTCCGGTGCATAGTAAACAAATCGAACAGGCAGGCACGCCATTTCGTGTGACGCGACATCAAGGCCGGCTGCGTCCATCAAAACAATTGAACGGGGTTGAATACTCCCAGTTCATGTGAATTTTGACGTCATATAAGATTTGCTAATTATTGGGAACTACTGAGTCAATCTGCTTTACTCCACTTTTTACTGACCTTCATGAGATTCTAAAGAAGTTTATTTTACCTCGTATTCATATTCTGCATTAGACTAACACTGACACTAACAATTGCAATAAAAGGTAAGTAAAACAGTTTTTTGCACAAATTGAAAAAATCATGAATATTGATAATAAAAAGATTTCGACGGTAGAAGATACATAAATAAATAAATCAATGAGGAACTATAAGTGTTAAACATAGATGAAAAACAATGTGAAAACGTCACAAAAGTATAGCTTATACCAGCATTTCTACGACTCAATATATACATCTAAACTTCTCGTTTAAATTTATTCATGGACAAAGACTTATATCTATATGACAGAGAGTTATACAACTTGACGGCATTGTATGTAAAGCTATTTTATATTTACATTAAATCTTATATTTCTGGAATATATATACAGTGTGACTTCGAAGTTGAGTCATTTATTTTAACAGTGAGTTGATCTGATCAAAAGAAATGTTTTTTTCCTTTACCATTTTTCTGGTAAAATTAAAGTAACAAAGTTATAGCCCTTTGGAAGTTTGAGTACCGCCCTGTCTCAATAATATCATGTGCTCGTGTTTGGCAACAACGGATATAATCCGCCTTATCGGTTCATCGCATCGGAAACAAAAAAGCGGAGGAATTTGGAACGATGTTTTTACAATTATGTTATTCAGTTCAGTTATACATACAGTCAGTGTCAGTCGCGTGTGAATAGTGTCTGTTGCGTGGCTCAAACGAAATAAAAAATGGCACATGTTTATGCGGATCGGTTTCCCAATCGAGTGCAACCAACCCCTCGTGCCTTTGTTAATGTAGTACAACGGGCTCGTGAATCAGGTGACTTAAGACCTCACAGGGGACCTCACGATCAAATACAGGTCCGCATTGGAATACTTGTCGGGAGGATACTTTATAAAACAAGGTAATTTTTTTTTTATTTTTACACACATATTTTGGTTTATCTTCCTTCTACAATCATTATCTGAAAATTAATGACTCAACTTCAAAGTCACCCTGTATATGCCCGCAATCAGCTCCTCTCTCAAAAATACGGGCACAGATACATCTAAAAGTCTGCTTGTGTACAGGGTGGTAGGAAAATGATATTCGTAACTTAAAGAGGTGATTCCTTGCATTATTCTAAGCAAAAAAGTTCATTATAAGCTATATCCGAAAATCAACCGTTTCGGAGCAAAAAAATGCTGAACTTATTTCTTTTCAATCATGAAATAAATTCATTTTGCACCTTAATTTAAATCCATATGCCTAATAGCGTAAAATGTATCAATACATCTATTTATTAATTAACTGCCTCTAACAAAATAATTTTCTTGCTTATTAAATACAATTTTCCGAAGAAAAAACAGACAAACAAAATCCCTCACACAACTGGCAACGTCGATTCAATAATTCAAGGCATATTTTCAACAAAAATATACAAACGTAAACATATCGTTGAATCAGTTGCGGTCGTCGTGCGCTCGTATCGCGGTTGCGTTGCCGCGTTGCCAAATGTTTTAGAAAATTTAATTATTTACGACTCACTTTCCTCTAAAACGACTGATTTTCGGACAAAAGTCATAATGAACTTTTTTGCTTAGAATAATGCAATGAATCATTTCTTCAAGTTATGAATATTATTTCCGTAACACCCTGTATATGAGCATATTGAAATCATATAATTGTCTCATATTCAGCCATCCTAGTTCTGAGAAAGCAGCAGTGATATGGTCGAATTTTCTGAGATTTTGAGTCAATCTACAGCAGGTGATTTGGATATTTTGGAGTTTTTCTACGGATTCACAGTCCAAGGAATGAAAATATACTAAAAAGCAGTATGTGATCTTAGATATCACAAAATTCTCTTTACTTCAAAATCAAGTAGCAGTTTATTGGCATACAACAATCTGAGAATTGCATAGCAACTTTTTACTTACATTATTTACATGGTGAATAACTTTCAGGTTCTCATCAAAAAGTACGCCTAAATTTCTTACCGATTCCCCAATTGGTATGTCCTGTCCATTTAAAGATATTATCAAATTTTCTTTCACTTTATTAAGTTTTGAAAATAAAGATCTGGAATTTTAGGCTTGCGGCCCAATAATACACAACATCCAACGTATGTGCCTGTTGTACGCACAAAAACCAATATAGGAAAAGAGGATGTGCGCACATTATTGTAGACAACCCAATTCTACGTCCCTCGTGTGCCAGACTGAGTAAGTTTACGCTTATGTATGACTGGTATGGAGCATAAAACTGCATACACTTCATTTATCTGAATTATTTCAAAATATCGTGGAAAATGTTCATGTTTTCGGTAAATGAGGTCTCATTCCGGTAGAAATACCGCAAAATCGGTAGGTTCGGCAACATTGCTAAAATCGCTGGAAACCTTGCCCCGGAATGGACAAGATGCGGTGTTGTCAAACGAATCAATGATGCAATGTTGCAGAATTTGTGGCGATCCTGACCATTCATTTCGAGCAAAAAATGGAGCGCCATTAGGACCGATCGGGAGTCAATCCTAAACAGATCGACACCATAATTTGGGTGTAAAGAATAAACTAACGCATATTTCCAATATATGTATATAATTCAAGGAACTGGTGTAACATAGGCAACCCGGCACTTTCTACGTCACCGTTGCTAGGCAACGTTAGTCCTCACCATAGATAATAGTGAATGTGGTGGCTGTTAGATGGCGCGCATGTAAGTCACCACGTTATTTTGAACGTCAAAATTTAGCAGGTGGTAGTAGACTATCTTCAGATTCAATATGTTAATGATATAACGTCGTGTTGTTCTGTCTTGGAGAAGGTGAAATCAATAGAGAGCAAGAAGAGGGTTAAAGAATATAGTTTGGTGAAATTACATTCGGGAGCCCATTAGGCAAAACTTCAGAGAGTAATAATTGATGTCGTCGTTTGGGCTAAAGGATTAAAATGTTATAAATGTAGGGATGCGTATATTGATTTGGACAACAAAAACAATCCTTAGAAGAATATTTTAAATATATTTCTGCTGAGTAACAGTCTGAGTTACATATTCCTATATATTTACAAGTAGCTATAGGCACAAAGTGAATTTTAAGGTACATATTTCATAAAAAATTGTGCGGCATTTTTGTATTGAATACTGATAAGCTCCGGTATACTTGATATTTGAAACAAAATATTAAGAAAGGCTAAACATAACTAATACTTTTGATACTGGCAGAATGACTATTAGCGTCAGCTTTACACAGAAACGGTTTACAATAATTCAAAGGCCACATTCATAACAATATAAAATATTTTGATATATCAAAAAAATATGACAATTCGCCAATGAAACTTAAAAATTCCAATCTGCAACAATTGAATTCAACTACAAAATTATCGCCTAAAATATTATAAATGATAAAAAAACTAAATTCCTACTCGTCGTACCTAAATAAAAATTAATTTTAAAATTACATGAAATTAAAAAGATCCTCCGATTATTTAAAATTAAATTGCACTTCATGACGTCTATTTTATAATAAAAATGGCTAAAACTAAATTGCATTATATTTTTAGCTTTTGTGCGATATGCTTTGATTTCAACATGTTTAAGATAAAATCATACGTTAAAAAATTTGATCATACATTTCAAGTGTTGATCAGCAAAAAAATAAAAATTATCAAAATTTTGATTGTGATACGTGAGCTTACGTGGCATGATATTTCCGCCTTCAGAGAAAATGATGAGGTGAGGCGTTTATAAAAACGAAATTTGTCGTTTTTTTCCCGCCAAATAACACTGTCTCAAAATGCACGATTATATAAATAAACAAAAGTGAAACCATCGAAGGGTCATCATGAGTCGTATCCGCCCCTAGGTGACGCCACTGGAGAAGGGGGTGGAGGAAGCGGACTAAAATAGGTGGATGACCTTGAACTCGGCGATGGGGGGCAACTTTCTTGATGGCAGTGAGATCTGGGCGTCGGAGGGGGTGGAAACGGACCGCCGTCATACCTGAAAAAGAGAATCATGCATATCTGAGATAACCTTGTACTATGCGAACTACGAGGGTGGTCTCAGAAGTACCCGGCCTGACCTAGAGATGGCGATAGTTGTTTGAAAAATATCATTGTATTAGAAAGTATGCAACCTATAAAGCATATGTGTCAAGTTTGAAGATGCCACGTTGTTTAGTATTTGTTTGGCAGCCATCAATACTGAACGTTTTCAGTGAATTTGTGAAAATGGAGAAAATTGTTCATCGTTATGTGGTACAATACTTTTATTTCAAAGGCCTCAGCTTAACCAATATAAAAGCTGAACTGGATTCTACTCTGGGTGAGTCTGATCCTTCGTTTACAACTGTAAAATATTGGGTAGCAGCAAATGAGGTGACGACTGGGATGCGCGTGGGGAAATTTTCATTGACTATCTTGAACATGGTAAAACTATCAACGGCGAACTTATTGCAACGTTTGAGCGATGAAATCAAGCAAAAACGGCCGCATTTGGTTAAGAAGAAAGTGTTGTTTCATCAAGACAATGCATCAGCTCACAAATCCGTTATTGCAATGGCCAAAATAAACGAATTAAAGTTTGAATTGCTACCTCATGCACCCTATTCACCAGATTTAGCCCCCTCGGATAATTTTCTGTTTCCAAACTTGAAAAAATGGCTCAGTGGTCAAAGATTTTCCAACGATGAAGAAGTGATGTCGGCAGTTAATGGCTATTATGAGAACCAAGACAGTTCTTATTATAAAAAGAGTATCGAACTTATTGAACATCTCTGGGAAAAGTGTATAGAGCTCAAAGGAGATTATGTTGAAAAATAAATACATTTTTTTACATAAATTTTGCGTTTTCTTCGTTGGGTTGGGTACTTCTGGGACCACCCTCGTAAAAACAAGCCCGTGTGCGAAACAGCCACAGGAGACCGTGTGCATACATAATTCAAATTTCGCTTACGATTGATAGATTGACGATCTGATGCTCTTACCTGTTCCTAATGGGGTAGTTCGAATAATTACAATCGCTCTCGTCGCACTGATCGGTGGTCGAGCAAGGCGTCGGTGGCGGCGGCTGGTTGATGGCCCTGTAGTGTCTGTAGGGGCGGTACCGCGCGCTACTCTGCCCGCCCCCAGGCGACGAAGGGCTGCCGGCCCTCGTCGACGCCGCTGTAGTGGCGGGACTCGGGGGCGGGTTGAGCGTCTCGCGTGGGTAGCGACCGCCTCCACCTGCGGCAACGCTGCTGCCGTTCGTGTTGGAACTGCTCGAAGCGCCGGTCACGTGACGTCGTTCGAACGCTGATTGGGCGTCCGAGGAGAGCATCGACATGCGCACGACATCGGGGATGCCTGGAAGAGAAAATGGCGTCAAGTAGGTTGATTCAGCACTTCCCACGCAACGATATCATCAGTTCATAAAGAAATACGTTCGTCGTAAGTTTCAGAAAAAAATTCTATTATGCGTTTGATAAAATTCCGCATAAACATTTGATTTATAATCTTGAGCATTTTGGTTGGTTAGAGGCGTTTCTTATGGACAGAACCTTCCAAGTAAGAGCAAATGGGGTTCTAAGTGACCCATAACCAGTGATGAGTGGTGTTCCACAAGGCTCCGTACTTGGACCTATTCTATTCCTTGTTTACACGTCAGATCTATTAATGGATATAAAAACAAACATTTCATTGCAAGCATTCGGAAACCCTTTATTACAAGAGGTCGAAATTACTCCTCATCCAGGAGTGATCTAAGAAATGGCAAATGTTATTCAATGCAGAATACGATAATTCATATTGGGAAGACAAATCCTCATATAAACTTAAGTATAGGGCAGGTAGAAATTGAAAATGTACATTACCAGAAAGACTAGGAGTTGTAATAAGTCTAATCATATTAGACAAAAATACCGCTGGTTTGAGAAATAATTGTAAAGTCTGGTTTTATTGCTGCAAGTTGTTCAAGGGGTATTCAAAACATGGACGCATAAACAGTGAGCGCAACAACTGTCAATTTATTCAAGAATAAACTGGATAAGGAACTAGAAAACAGAGCAACATTATCCAGCATAAGAAAAAGACTATACGTATACATAACAGTGTCATCGGACTTTTCCACCTACTGATGGAGTACAAATAATAATAATGATGAACATTGTATAACAAATTAATTAAATGAATCAGGTCAATCAAAATGTTATGTTATTTCCATCTAGAATTTTTATGACTATCAAAAAATGTCAAATACCCTGATCCAAACAAATTAATGATATGATGTTGCCTAGCTTTGCGCTGAACTGATCTGATCCACTGATAATATCCGTTCAGAACTATCAGACATTTTGTGCGCAAGTAGATGCAAATCTAACGATCGCCACCTACCGATGGTTTCTTATTTTCATCGTTGGAAAGAACATAATTCGTCCCCAGTTTCCAACTTTTTATATCCTGGATAGAGTATGGTTCCTCAGCTATTGTTTGTTGCGACAAAGGCTATACCTTGCTGAGGAGTTGCCAAATCGCACGAAACAGCTAGATTACTATTTTTCCCACGCAACGATATCATCAGTTCATAAAGAAATATGTTCGTCGGAAGTTTCGGAAAAAATTCTATTATGCTTTTGATAAAATTCCGCATAAACATTTGATTTATAATCTTAAGCATTTTGGTTGGTTAGAGGCGTTTCTTATGGACAGAACCTTCCAAGTAAGAGCAAACGGGGTTCTAAGTGACCCATAACCAGTGATGAGTGGTATTCCACAAGGCTTCGTACTTGGACCTATTCTATTCCTTGTTTACACGGCAGATCTATTAATTGATATAAAAACAGTCATTTCATTATATGCAAGCATTCGGAAACCCTTTATTACAAGAGGTCGAAATTAAAGAGGACATACTCGTCATCCAGGAGTGTTCTAAGAAATGGCAAATGTTATTCAATGCAGAAAATTGTACGATAATTCATATTGGGAAGACAAATCCTCATATAAACTTAAGTATAGGGCAGGTAGAAATTGAAAATGTACATCATATTAGACAAAAATACCCCTGGTTTGAGAAATAATTGTAAAGTCTGGTTTTATTGCTGCAAGTTGTTCAAGGGGGTATTCAAAACATGAACGCATAAAATGGGTACACTCGTGGAACTCTCTTAGTGAAGAAACAGTGAGCGCAATAACTGTCAATTTATTCAAGAATAAACTGGATAAGGAACTAGAAAACAGAGCAACATTATCCAGCATAAGAAAAAGACTATACATAACAGTGTCATCGGACTTTTCCACCTACTGATGGAGTACAAATAATAATAATGATGAATATTGTATAACAAATTAATTAAATGAATCAGGTCAATCAAAATGTTATGTTATTTCCATCTAGAATTTTTATGACTATAAAAAAATGTCAAATACCCTGATCCAAACAAATTAATGATATGATGTTGCCGAGCTCCGTGCTGAACTGATCTGGTCCACTGACAATGACCATTCAGAACTATCAGACATTTTGTGCGCAAGTAGATGCAAATCTAACGATCGCCACCTACCGATGGTTTCTTATTTTCATCGTTGGAAGGAACATAATTCGTCCCCAGTTTCCAACTTTTTATGTCCTGGATAGAGTATGGTTGTTCATCTATTGTTTGTTGCAACAAAGGCTATACCTCGCTGAGGAGTTGCCAAATCGCACGAAACAGCTAGATTAGTATTTTACGACAAACAGAGCCTTACAACACTAAAAAAATCACAATTCAGCAACAAATAAAACTCACCTTTCCTCAACTTGAGACTCTTCGCGGAATTGGGATGCATGGGACTGAGAGAGTCCTCCGACTGATCAGTGACGTCATCCCTTGGAGGTAGAAACTTCTTCCTGAGGAAGACGATCGAGATAACAGCAAATACAAACACCACTCCCACTACAGAAAGCACTATGGTATGCGTCACTGGTTTGTTGGAATCTCTCGCTGAATTGCAGTCTTTTTCGTCAGAACCGTCCGCGCAGTTTTCGTTGCCGTCGCACACCAAGCTATGGGGAAGACAAACCTGGAAAAAGATTCAGATACAGGGTGCGGCAGAGAGGATGGACGGTTTTAAAAAAATCATAAAATAGTTAATTGATGATCTTTTTGCGTCTTTTTTAGATTCTTCCAAATTACCTTATCAAATAGGCCCATGTATGTCGATTTGTGAAAAACTACGCGAGGATTCTGTTTACAAAACTTGAGCATCCTGACTGGTCGGGGTGGCAAGCGGCACTTCGTTGGATAAAACGGCGATAAAAACATACTCCAATCTTCAAAATCAAAATTTTTGCCACAAGCAAAGACCTCAAATGGTGTAGGTTTCACACGGCAATTTTTCAATTCATCTCTCCAGTCATCCGGTACCTCAGTGTATGCTCTTTGGTGCACGAGACTCATATGTCTATCACACTCGAGGTATGAATGGCCCCTGATCGGGAATATTACTTTCACAGTAGTAAAACGATTTTTCTTGGTAACCAAGTAATGCAAAAACCGAATAACTGTAAAGTTTTTATTTTGCCCCTGCACAGGAGTCACAGAAAATGGCAAGTTATTTTACTTCCATAGGCAGGATGTTATAAAAAAGTGATACAGCATAGAACATATATCGTCAGCTCCTTTCTTAGCAATAGATTCATCGTAGGTATAAAAGATATAATTTGAGTTTGACAGAATGTGGATGTTAAAACGGATGAAATTTAGTTGCCACTTATAGTAAACATCAACTGTCGTGATATTTGGACAGTGCAAGTTTTTTTCGTAATCAATCGTGATACTTTCGATAGCGGGGAACTTCGAGGTACGTTTGCGGTAAGTTCTCTTTAGACTGTAAAATCATTCACTCCTTTTTTGATGTAGTGTCTTCTCAAGTATCTTTTTTTCCAAATTATTACTTGCTGACTGCCTAGTTTGTTCCGTGTGGGAATTTAAGGTAGCGGTAAGTGAAGATATATCAGCTTTTAAGGAATCACATGTACTACAAGTATCTTTTCGTGGATGATCGAACGATATATTGAAGTTGTTTTCAAAGATTTCTCGGAAGGATTCATAGGAAATCTTGTTTTCAACATTGCCAATAGAATACATTTGGTGTAACTTTGCGATATTTAGATTTTCAGGTAGGTAAACTTTTTGCGAATCTGCCAACGAATAATGAGATTTGCGGCATTTGAGGCTCTTAATAAACTCGGTCACTTTCTGTTTTGTGTTTTCTGAATGTTTGCGATGTCCAGTCGTGTGTTGTGTTTTCCACGCATGTCGATGGGCGATTTCCCAGTTGCAACTATTGAGTCTCTTATGTACCGAACTCGAAGAATTGCAATTCCGTGTAAAGACAAAAAAACCTTAAGACTAACTTGAACATCATGTATAATTCCATTTTCGACCAATCGGACAAAATAACTAAATGAAGCATTATTAAGCCTTGACCCCGCTTGATTTTTTCGAGGGCGTCTACGCATGACAGGAAGAACAGTGATAAGACCACTAAGATAAGCGTTTTGTGCATTAGTGTTTCCTAGTTCATTAAATTCACGAAGAAGTCTACAGGTTCAGGAACAGCAGTAAAACAGCGAAAGCTGAAGATGTATTAATGCACCTGCGAAATCTGAAGACCTCTTCCTCCCCTGGTAAAGATGGGATGACGGCTGCTGTACTTAAAAACTGCGCTTCAGCACTGGCCCTACCATTAAGCTTGATATTCACATCGTCTTTTAGATCTCATACCCTACCCTCATGCTGGCTTAGTGCTTCTGTTACCCCTGTATTCAAAAAGGGCGACAAATCCTCCGCTAAAAATTATCGACCAATAAGTCTCGTTCCTATCGCCGCCAAAATAGCTGAAAGAATCATATTAGATAAGCTCCTGTCATTTGCTTTCGAAAATGACCTTATCCCTAAGAATCAGCATGGATTTTTCCCTGGTCGATCAATAATGACCAACATTCTCCACTCTCTCAACGATTGGACTCAGTATCTGGACACAAAGACTCCTGTTGATATAATCTACTTAGATTTTTCTAGGGCTTTCGATCGCGTACCACATAGAGGGCTTCTGTTTAAGTTGGAATGTATGGGAATAAGAGGCGAGTTGTTACTGTGGATTAAGGCTTTTCTCACCGGGAAGACTTTCTCTGTGCGCGTCAGTGATAGCCAGTCTCACCTTCATCATGTAGCAAGTGGAGTTCCTCAAGGCTCTGTCTTGGGGCCAGTGCTGTTCCTTCTGTATACAAGTGATCTGCTCGCATTGATTTCCTCCACATGTTCAGCTTATGCCGACGACACCAAGATTTACAATACTGTCGTAAATTCTGCTATGCTTCAACGAGATCTTGATATTGATGGTCAATAGTCTAAATCTAAATCTAAATCTAACTAAGTGTTGTGTCCTTCACCTCGGGAAGACAAATCCGCGATTTACATACAAGATCTCTGACCACAACATCGAAGCAGTTTCCAGCCACACTGATCTGGGCGTTGTAGTCAACGATCGTCTTTCCTGGTCAGAGCATATTCACCACGTTACATCAAAAGCCAAGAAACTTCTATACATGCTGGAGAGGTCTTTCAAAGGATCCGATGTCAACACTTGCGCCTACATTTACAAGGCATTCGTGAGGCCAATTCTTGAATTCGCTGGCCCGGTATGGGACACTGTGCTTCTGCGCGATAGAAATCTCGTCGAATCAATACAGCGTCGGGCTACTCGTATCCCTTTTGGAGCACGAAGACCAAGCTATGAAGATCGCATTGAATTATTCAACCTGACCTCATTCTCTGAGCGAAGACTTCGTGGCGATCTTATAGTTACGTTCAGGATACTTCATGGTTTGATGGGCACCAACCTCATGCATCTATACCGGCTGTCGCGCAGCAATCTACGCGGACACAGCTTCAAACTGCATAAGGAGCCATTTAAAACAACAGTCCGACAGTGGTTTCTTCCCAACCGCATATTCAACACCTGGAATAGTTTACCTGAAAGTGTGGTTGGTGGTAGTTCAGTTAATAGCTTCAAAGTGCAGTACGATAGCTGGAGGAGTGTACAAACTTTATAACTATGAACTGTCTTTTTTTATTTTTTTCTATTTGATGTATTTGTGTTACGTGTCCGTACACTATATTTACTGCATGAGCTTATAGTACTGTGTACTCTGCTCATCTCAATTATCATAATAATAATAATAATAATAAAAATAAAAACAATCAGATCCAAGTTCGTGGGTAGTGGCGCGCAACGTTTTTATTACGTCTCTTTGTCTTCCTGTTTTTTTTGCGTTTTTTCGTTTCTCTGTTTGATGGGCCTGGTTCATTTTCACTTGAAACTGAATAGTCACTATCCATTATACACAAAACCCGTATTATAAACTAAATTAGCGAATATAGTCAATATTCAAAATACCAGCGTATACATTACACGTGGACTCTAATAGTATACTAGTGGCTGATGCAATAACGAAGCGCCCAAGCGGTACGGCCGATGAGGCTGATGCCGTTTTTCCATACACGCGCAGAGACTCATGCCATTCTTCCCCGGTACAGGAAATCTTATAGCTACGCCAGTTTTACAATTTAAGAAGCTGATTACAAGATAGCATCAGGAAAATGCCACCAAAATAAACTGAAAGGTCAATTTACCCAAATAATGAACTAATGCCGTTTTCCCCCGGTACCCTTCATATGCCAGAAATTATTAAAATTGGATAAGCAAACTTAGGTGTTTACCTTTTTTTGTCACTCGGTATAGTTAACTATAAAGTCGTAGTTAAACCGCAATGCCTAGCCTACTTTGCTACACCATGACATGAATTGTCACGTATGACACAAGACACAAACACCATGCATCCAAAATTATTGATGTTTTGTCAACAACACGGCCAGTTCGAGCCGATGTTCCTCAGGGCTCAGTTCTAGAACCAATCCTTTATTCGCTTTGCATCCATGATGTCGCTTGCCCCAGCAACTGTGAAGTCTATCTCTATGCCGACACTGCACTTGTCACCCAGACGTGTACTGGCGATCTGGTTCACGATGGGTTGCAGAGCGCGGTGGACGAAGTACTAGAATGGGCGGATCGGTGGCTGAGTAAAATTAATCATTCGAAAACGCAGGCTATTTATTGTACCAAAAAACGTCGCTTTCCCTCAGCAGAGGTTTCTGTAGACGGCAATCGTGTACCATGGACAAATTCTGCCAAGTACCTCGGTGTCAGCCTTGACAAAGGCATGACCTGGCAGAAACATACAGCAGCATTGAGAACAAAATTCCAAATTACGTTTCGGCAACTATACAGGGTGTCCGCAAAGTTGGGGTTTTCCTTTTCAGAAACAACTACCCTTGAAATAACAAAGGTAATGTGTAGTGAAACGAGGGCGACCAAGTAAAAAAAAATAAAGGAAAAAGTACTCACTCTCCAGTTGACGAGAAGGGCTAAGTACGTCTCTGCCCGAAATCATACCGCTCCAACAGAAAATGAAATATGACGGCGTTGCCGCGTTTTCAGTTTTTAGGTAAACATACTTTATAGGTATTGTTCGAAGTTATCGCCGTTTGATTCAAAAACACAGGTGCGTGCACGACGTAGCCAAGCATCGGTGCAGGCTTTGAGAATGGAGTCCCCCCCTCACCCCCACCAGCACCAGCTTTTTCAATTCCGAGACGAAGTTCATCAACCCCTTTATCTCGGTTCCCTTAAGACATTGGTGTATATGGTACTAAGAAAAATTGCTTATGTTTTCAAGATCTACACGTCGTGTAAAGGAAAACCCCAACTTTGCGGAAACAAAGTTCGCCTATATAAAATTATTATTAGATCAGCCATTACTTGTGCGGCTTGGTGTTTTCTTGCCAAGACACACATGCAAAGTTTTCAAGCACTACAAAGTAGAACTTTGCAAACAATTTGCAACGCTCCATGGTATGTCTCAAACGAGACACTACACAGAAACCTTGACATTCCTTACTTGAGGAATTATGTCAAGCTTCAGGCGCGGCGACGTTTTAGTCAAGCGGAATCGCACAGCAACCCTCTGTGGAGCAAGTTCGTAAGCATTCGAGGCCACGGCTCACACTGTAATCAAAAATTAGCGCGAACTTTTAGTCAACTTAAAATTACACTTGAGCAAAACCGAATCAAACTTTGTTAGTTCACCTCAAAATTAATCCGTGGACCAAGTCAAAACGCCTAGGCGTTTCCTCTTAAACCAAACACTTATGTTTTTCTTTGTTCTCCTCCTTTTTTCTTCTCATTCCCTTTCTCTTTTTCCTTGACATTGCCTGGTTTCTGGGCAACCAGGACTGACGGATTCGACTAACGTACATTAGACAGTGAAGCGTGCCAAATACCATAGTTCACACGTAAAAGCAGTGTCGCCACATCCACAATGCATGGCCTAACCAGAACAGAAAAACGAATTTACGAACAATGATACTCGTAGTAATTCTTACCTAACTTGAAAGTTAACCTACGATTGATAAACCGACCCTTTTAGAGGTACTTGTTTAAAAAGAGATAAAACATACACATGACCTTAAGGTGTACGCCCATTGAGGTAAAGCGGAGCAGCTCATGTCGCTTGTCAGCGTCACTCGACAAAGTTTGATATAGGTTGTCTCTTTCTGACTTGTCGAACACTGCTGATTGACATTTTCTCGCGAACCAAATCTCTCTTCGTCCCCTCAATGCGCGCGCATCTTCAACCTTCCAAAACTCACTTCAGTTTGCGGACACTGAAACCCGTTCTCGCAGCAATTCTTCTCGTCGGACTTATCGTTGCAGTGTTGCACCCCGTCGCACAGGTACTCCTTGTCGATGCACTGTCCGTCTTGGCATCGGAACTGATCCGGCCTGCAATTGGGGCAGTCCAGTTCGTCGGAGCCGTCCGAGCAGTCTTTTTGGCGATCGCAGCGCCACGCGATAGGGATGCAGTCCTTCATGTCGCCGCCGCCCGCCACGTTGCACGTGAAACGCTCGTTGCCGCAGTCCGGCAACACCTGAAAAAATTCGATTGTTTTCTGAAATGGCCAATGACGGGATTAGATTTTAGAACGTGCTACCTTGATGGTTCGACCAATGAAGACAAATGGCGAAACCAAGCAAAAAATAAAAATAAAAGAGGAGTTACAGAGACGAATTTTTACGTATGCAAAGTATATTATTGGACATGTAGCGGACAAAATTTTGGAAACATTCTTCCTAATTGTTAAAAAGTGCGCTAATTTGTTATTCTTTATTATGTTGTTGTTGTTTAAGATTTATTTAGCATGATTGCTACAATTACATTCTTCTAAAAAACTAAACAATTACATAACATACAGACATGCAGAAAAAAAAAACAAAATTTGCATCTCTAATAATTTTCATTGTCCATGAAATATTCCTTTAATTTTCTTTTAAATATCTTTAAATTACAACGAGACTTTATATCATTATTTAGTTTATTAAATTCAAGTAATCCTTTCTGAAATATTGATTTGCTAGTTATATTACTATTGCAATTTTGTAAATGAAAATCTATATATTTCCTCTTGTATAATAATTGTGGTAATGATTATTCAATTCTATGTAGTGTTCTAAATGTTCTGGCAAAAGATGATTTTTTTATTTTAAATATAAAAATAAGAACCAAATATGATATGTAATTTTTTATATTCAACCACTGCAACTCTTGTAACATAGATTTTATTTTAGTGTACCTATTTTTATTTAATATTATTCTCATAGCTTTATTTTGCAAGTCTAGAAATTTTGAGAATACAGCTTCATTGGTAGTGAACAAGATAGTTGAACCATATAGTAAATGCGGTAGAATAATTGTATTATAAACTATTTTCTTGAAATAGGTACCAAGACTATGAGAAGCCCTATAAAAGTAATTTGTTTTTTTTTGGCAATTTTTGAAATAATTTATTCATAGTGATCCTCAAACTTTAGTTTACTATCAATATATATACAGGGTGTTGCAGTTTATTGTTGCATAACTTTAAGATTCGATAGAACTTTTAAAATTAATGCATAAAGTCTATATAAACATGGGTCGAAAAATGCGCGGCTTCCGAAATACAGGATGTTTAAATTTACTTTCTAAAATAGTTTTTTTTTAAATATTTAGAACAATATTTGATGTATAACAGTGAAAATTGGTATACAAGGGTTTTTTGGTACGACAAAACGAACCATGGGCATAGTTTTACTGTAGCCGCTCTCTACTGTACCTGTAGTGTATTAAAACGACTGAAAAAATTTTCTTAGTGCAATTTTTTGCTTTTTGAATAAAAAAACTGATTCTTCGCACTTTTCAACGTAAAGAAAGCTCTCTTGTGAATTTTCGTTATAGTTAGCCGTTTTTGAGATTTCGATTTCGATTTTTAAGGTTCGATGCATTTTTAATTATTTATGATAAAATAACGTTAGAAAGTCAGTATCTCGATAATTTTTAGAAGTAGGCTGTGCCTGCAAATATTTTTGAAATTGAAAGCAGAATAAGGTTAAACGTCAATTAGTTGACAGTTAGTTTTGTTGTCTGTTGAAACCTGAAACGTTTTTTTGCAATTGTGAATGCACGAAATTTAGTTTTTTTTACCTGTTTTTTTTTTGTAAGTTTTATAAAAATGCCATTTTTATTCTCCAATCAAGAGTTAGCGGATATTCATTTTGTGTATGGCTTTGTAAATGGAAACGCAGCAGAAGCAGCCAGAACGACATCCAACTCGCTCAGTATTTGTAAGAGTGTATCGCCAAATAATTGAAAATGGTTTTGTAAATCTCCAAAGGGATCAAAACATAAATGTTCGTCAGCGCAGATTTACCCGTATGATTCTGCGTGAGTTTGATAGAGATCCGACCACAAGTGTTAGGAGAGTTTCTGGTGCCTTGGGAATTTCAGCAAGCCATGTTCACCGTGTTCTTAGAAATGACCATAGACGTCCTTACCATTTGCAACCTGTGCAAGGACTACAGCCAGGGGACGGAGAACGAAGAATCAGATTTTGTCAGTGGATTCTTGATAGAACTGATAATAATAGGGAGTTTTTAAGTAACGTTTTATGGACCGATGAGTCATGCTTCACTAGACGTGGAGTGGTAAATTTTCATAATCAACATATTTGGTCGCATGAAAATCCGTATGCAGTTCGGGAGAGAAATTTTCAGCATGAATTTAGTGTGAACGTGTGGATTTGTATCTACCGTAATCGACTATTTGAACATGTAAATATGTGGGATGACGTTATGTTAGATTTAAGAAGATTGGCCTGGTGCCAGCTTGATGGTTGTCCAGCTCATTATTCGAGAATAGTTAGAAACTGGCTGGACGAAAATTATCCAGAAAGATGGATCGGCCGTGGAGGACCAGTCGCCAGGCCTCCACGATCCCCTGACCTAAATCCATTAGATTTCTTTGTGTGGGGATTTCTAAAAGAAAAAGTGTACCAGACTCCCGTAACCACAAGAGATATGCTAATAGACAGAATCAGGAATGCATGTGATGAAATAAGGCCTTATTTGAATAATGCTATACTACGTTCGATCATTCGTAGATGTGAATTATGTAGTGAACAATTAATTGGGTTTACATTTCGAGCAACTACTTTAGATTTTGTATGTTTGTCCTAACTATCCAATAGCATTTTAGGTGTAAATAATTAATTTAATTTGTTAAAAATAATATTGGAAAATTAAACAAATTAATATTCTGTTTTTTGTGTTTATTTGGAGTTAGGAATTATTGCTGTGTTTAAAAACACAATCTAAACGATAATCTTAATTACTTGTAATGCCCAAATCGAAAATGTAAAAAAAATATTATTTTCCCATAAATAATTAAATATGCATCGAACCTTAAAAATCGAAATATCTCAATAACGGCTAACTATAACGAAAACTCACAGGAGAGCTTTTTTATGTTGAAAAGTGCGAAGAATCAGTTTTTTTATTCAAAAAGCAAAAAATTGCACTAAGAAAAATTTTTCGGTCATTTTAATACACTACGGGTACAGTAGAGAGCGCCCTCTAGCGTCTACAGTAAAACTATGCCCATGGTTCGTTTTGTCGTACCAAAAAACCCATTTATACCAATTTTCACTGTTATACATCAAATATTGTTCGAAATATTTAAAAAAAACTATTTCAGAAAGTAAATTTATTTTGGAAGCCACGCATTTTTCGACCCATGTTTATATAGACTTTATACATTAATTTTAAAAGTTCTATCGAATCTTAATGTTATGCAACAATAAACTGAAACACCCTTTATATACATATTGCATCACTTTGAATATTGCATTCCTTTCTCGCAGACCTCTCTCATTCACATCTTAATGCGAAATAAACGACCTATACTTTGAACTACTTCCACGCGAGCGGAGCCGCGGGATTAGGCTAGTATTAGCAGCATCTACTAGAACTGAGAGAATGAATTAGGCTTTCCAAATTTTGTATTACCAACAGCTTGAAAACATGTCCACCAAATGTTTGACTGTTTCGTACATCATTCTGGAATTCCCCGCTAAAGAAACATACCCATTTTTTGAAAAATGGCTCTTACCTGACATGTTCTCCTATCCTCTTGCAAAACCTTCCCATTGGGACAGGCGCACGCCGGTTCAGTTCCATTTAAAATACAGAAATGCGAACACTTTTTCTGATGAGGTAGATTGCAACTATGATTGATCGGCGTCTTAACGGAGATCAGATCCAGTATGTGAGACGCCTGTATAGGCAGAGTCGACCTGGACTTCCCCGACAGGAGCTCAAGCCTTTGTAGTTGATGCAGCTCCTTGTCGATCCAGTACAGCCAGCCTTTGTGCACTGTCAGTTGGATTATCTTCGAGTTGCTTTCGTTGAGGAGCACGTGTCTAGAATTTGAAGTAGGGATGAATAAAATAATTAGAAACCAATGTGCCTGTGCACAAGGCATCCGTCCATTTGAGCGTCTTTACATGCTAGGTCCTAAGACCCACAAAACCATGGAAAACGTTAATCTTAAAGGGTTTGCATACATACGCATTGCTTTTACATCGAATAAGATTACTATTTATTTAGGATTTATTCTTAAATATGAGGTGCTTATGCCGCAGTGGATTGAGTCTAGGATCATCTAATGTTAGCCCTTGACTAGATGAGAAGTGATATTTGCTACTGTGAGGTTGCCCACAAAATTTCAAACCTCGGATTGTGTTCATATCGGTAGAGACATTCAAATCTTAATCCAAGAGAATGATCCTAAATGTTTATATTGGGACTTTTCCAACTTCATCCTGTAAAAATCTCGATATAAACGTACATCATATAAAATAATTGCTATGATAGCGATCAGCAGGGGTATTACGTATCTTGAAAAGTGAAATTATGTTGTTTTTGCATAGTTGGGGTTTTTTCTTTTCAGACACGCTAATAAATGTTCGGCCAGATGTTGAAAAAGTTTTTGAAGAAATTATTTACGAACAGGTCATCGAATTTATTGAGGGAAATAACATTTTAACCAAATTTCAAGCTGGATTCAGGAAGAAACACGGCAACACAAACGGTTTTAGAGGACTGGACATGTATGGACAATAGGAAACATACAGTAACAGTGTTTTTGGACTTCAAAAGGGCGTTTGAGACTATTGACAGGGATAAATTACTTACAAAATTGCATTACTACGGATTTAAAGGATCTGTATTCAAAATTCTACAAAACTATTTAATTGACAGAAGTCAAAAAACCAAAATTGGATCTACATTATCAAGATCAACACTAGGTCCACTACTATTTATTTTGTACATTAATGACATTTGTAATATTTTAAATTATTATAAACTTCAGATATTTGCAGATGATACATTAATATACATATCAGATGAAAATAAAGACACTGCTTTAAAAGTTCTAAATTCTGACTTGACAAAAATCGTAAATTGGTTAAACGTAAATAAACTAAAATTGATTTGTTCTAAAACAAAACGTCTGCTAATAGGGAAATACTTAAATGAAAATACTATCACAGTTAGGATAAATGGAGAAGTAATTGAAAAAGTTGAAACAATTAAATAATTAGGTATAGTATATATATATATATATATATATATATATATTGATAGTAAATATTGATAGTAAACTAAAGTTTGAGGATCATTTATTTCAAAAATTGGCAAAAAAAGATAATTACTTTTATAGGGCTTCTCATAGTCTTGGTAGCTATTCCAAGAAAATAGTTTATAATACGATTATTCCACCACATTTACTATATTGTTCAACTATCTTGTTCACTGTCAATGAAACTGTATTCTCAAAATTACAAGTTTTGCAAAATAAAGCTATGAGAATAATATTGAATAAAAATAAGTACACCACCAGAAAATCTATGTTACAAGAATTGCAGTGGTTGAATATAAAAAATTTCATATCATATTTGGTTCTTATTTTTATATTTAAAATAAAAAATCATCTTTTGCCAGAACATTTAGAACACTACATAGAATTGAATTATCATTACCACAATTATTATACAAGAGGAAATATAGATTTTCATTTACAACATTGCAATAGTAATATAACTAGCAAATCAATATTTCAGAAAGGATTACTTGAATTCAATAAACTAAATAATGATATAAAGTCTACTTGTAATTTGAAGATATTTAAAACAAAATTAAAGGACTATTTCATGGACAATGAAAATTCTTAGAGATGCAAATTTTATTTTTTTTCTGAACGTCTGTATGTTATTTAATTGTTTAGTTTTTTAGAAGAATATAATTGTAGCAATCACGCTAAATAAATCTTCAACAAACAAACAAACACAACTACGCTTGATATAACAAAGTTAATGTGTTTTGAAACGTGAGCGAACAAGTAAAAAAACATAAATGAAAAAGGACTCACTTTTCAGTTGAATTGAAATTCCAAGTACGGCTCTGTCGTAAAATCCGAGGAGCACATGTAACAAAATTAACAAAAAAGAGATCGAAAATATGACGTCGGTGTCACATTTTCTTGGTGAACGTATTTTATAAGTAATGTTCGAAGTTGTCGCCGTTCGATTCAAAAACACATGGCGTGCTCGACGTAGCCAAGCATCGGTGCAGGCTTTTAGAGTGGAGTCCCTTCCCCGAATGAATGCAGTAGCTTGGTCAATTACCAGGCGTAATTCATCAATCGTGCGCACCTCAGTTTTGTACACCAGGCGTTTCAATTCACCCCAAAGAAAAAAATCACACGGTGTTAAGTCTGGAGATCGCAGAGGCTATGCTACGGGTCTCTAGCACTTCGCGTCTAAAATTGGGCGGTGCACCGTCATGGAGAAACCACATTGATTGTCTTACACGCAAAGGCACATCTTCTAGCAGGGTTGGTAAAATGTTGTGTAAAAAGTCTGGGCGTTGTATCCCCGTCCAACCGATTCGGGAGAATAAATGGTCCAATGAGCATGCCGTTTACCACGCCAGCCCAAACATTCACAAAAAATGTTTGTTGATAGTGTGATCGACGGACAGCGTAAGGATTTTCTACTGACCACACATGATTATTGCGGAAGTTATTCACCCCGTTACGCGTGAACGTGGATTCGTCTGCTTGGAGGACACATTGCACGTGAAAATGGTACAGTCCCTCATCATGCAACGTTTGCTACACTTGTCTTCGACACTTGCACTTGGCTAGCCACGTCCCTAGTACTTGTTGAAGGATTCTCGTCTACCAGATTCAGTACTTCTTCCTCAGTTTGCACCACTCGAGGTTGTCCAGGTCTCCCACTGTGCCCACCTCGACATTCTTCCAAACGACCCATATCCTTGAGTCTCTGCACAAGGAAAACAAATCTAAGGGGCCTTGGATGATGACGATCTGCATACACTCGCGAAGCCTCGGTCGCATTTTGAAGACACTCACCGTAAATTAACAGCATGTCGACTAGTTCGCCATTGGTGTATGGGTGAGACATTTTTTTAATTGTCTGAACATCAGTCGGTTACCAATTTAGTTTGTTGACCTACACTACCGGCGTCTAGGTTGCATACTAGCGTATTTACAGCATAGTCGTACGTCGTATAACTGTATGCTGGCGCTGCGGACGTGATCGAAGGATATGACAGGACCGGCCTCGGTTTGGTGAAACCCCAACTTTGCGCGCGGGGGGGGGGGGTATAGGTTTTTTGTGACATTCTGCAGATTTTTCTACAAGATGTCAACTAGACTGGACATAGCTGCCGGCTTATTGATTTCCTTTTGGCGTCGTTGAGAAGTTTTGAGAATTCGAAATCTTAGGAATAATTCCGCGGGAGGTTGAGGGCTGATCTTTTCCTGGAATCTAGTCTATTATTATTGCTTATAAGGGAATTAGTGTGATCCTACTTGCCAATATGGTTCTGACGATGTAAAATGTACATAAATGTCCAAATACTGCATAGTGTTGAGCATTTTCGTTAGTCAACGCCAAAACTAAATCAAAATAATTGAGATGTACTCACTGATTTTCCCCGTCAATGTTACTGATGAATATGCTATGGCCTTGCGCCCATACAATGAGATCGTTCTCGATATCAACTGCAATTGCAGCTATATCGTCAGCTTTGGTAATTACGATTCGATGCGAACCATCTAGTCTCATCCTTACCAACTGCGGAGTGACCCCGACGTCGGTGTAGAATAGTAATCTGGAAGCAGAATATACAAAGTGTTACAAAATGTTGGATACGAAATAACTCGACTGGGTCACTGGAAAGAATTTCTATTTGCGATTAAAACAGATAAAAAACTTGGGGGGAGGGTTCTCGAATCTCGCATGCGACACCGGAATTTTATTTTTATGATTCTTGTCATCGTTTGTCACTGTGACGTTGTTTTGGTTAATTTGTTTGATTTTTAGACGGGCGTTGTAAAAAGGTAGCCAATAACGAAAAAAGTAGCGGAGAGGGAACAGTAGACATCTAGCAACTCCCCAGCCTTTCTGAAGAAGAGAGAATGCAGACTGAAAATTAAGGATGTTCTATTGTTCCGTGTCGGCGTCAGCGCTGTATTATTGTCAGGCTATGTTTTCTTCTTGAATTGTAGGAAATAGTAAGGCTATATATAACATATGATATAAATCAAAACCATGAACAATTTGATGCTAACAGATATTTGTAACATAACCTCAAAGTAGAGATACGGCCCTAAATTATACTATATGGAAATATGTGTCGTTAATATGGAACCCAATTTACAACTACTACAGTTTATAAAATTTTTATCTTTCAAAGTTGGCGGTGCATATTCTGAGCAGGGTATATCTGAACGTTTGTTATTGTCTAGGTTTCAAATGTAGTCTGCACAATCAAATTGATGCTAATAACATGGTGGTTCAACTAAACTTTGATGTCCCATGTATTCAAACTCGTACCGCTAAAACCTTTTATTGTGTCAGGTCTCGCACACATTTATTTTTTGATAGCACCCATATATGTAATGTGTAAAACTCAATGCCATATCTAATTATTGTGATATATGTTTCTCACTTGAGTTAAATATGTTTTTTTTCTTCTTTTTATTTTGTTTTATCTTAAGACTGTCCAGGGCAATAAACGCTATTTATTATTATTATCCTAACAGTCAGGCTCGTTTCCTATGCTCAAAATGTTTATTTTGTAATCGCTATATAATTTTTCTCTTGCATATACGTATACAGGGTGACAGGTAAAACATTTTAGGAGGTGATAGTACAGCTCCTTTGCTATCAAAATTAGTATATAATACCATACCCTATATTCAAAGGTTAAAAAGTTATGGAAGATTTAATTTTTTCTAAAAAACAACCAAGATTACAGAGTAAAATAGCTGAGATAAAAAAAATTGGTGATTAAACATTCTTTTTTTGGTGGTTTCAGGTTATTATTTAAATAAATAATTCTCATAAATTAAAAAACATATGAAAACACTACTGAAAACATATTTATTTTCATTTAAATGTTAAATGAAAATTTTTATTTTCAACTTTCACATTAAGAAGTCTTTTTTTTTCAAAAAAATCATAATAAAGAAAATGTACAAATAACTGCAAAAACTTCCTCGTTTCATTAGGTTTCTAAAATGGTATAATAACATATCAGTAAGTAAACCATTTAACAAAACAATATTACTTTGATAGAAAGGACCGCTAAGCGCATTTCATTGTACTGAGCAGGTAAACCGAGCCTTTCATGGTTCTACCTTTTTTGTTATTTTTTGTGCCCTGTGCCGTTATTCGGGTTTAAGTATTCGGAATCTGTCGTCGCTCCTCGGAAGCAAGCTCTGCGTGTGTTATGAATTGGCACAGCTGACGGATCAAGGAAAGGGAACTAATGCTTAGGTTAGTTAGTAGAATATCAACCTTTAACGTGGTAGGACGTACTTTTACTTTTTTGATCAGTTTTAATAATGGCGAGTTACCGTAACGAAGAATACGCTGATATTCTGTTTTGTTATGGTTTAAGTGATGGAAATTCCGTTGAAGCCAGGCGAGAATACGAAAACCGTTTTCCGAATCGGCGAATACCGAGTCATCGAGTATTTGCTTCTGTGTACCATCGCGTCAAGGAAAGTGGACAGGTTCATGCGAGACGTCATGATGCTGGTAGACCTCGGTTGTTTGACGACGAAGATCGAGAGGCAATACTGTAATGCTACGGCAGAGACCCGACGACGTCTACACGAGTTATAGCAAAGCAGCTTGGTGTAACTCAATGGAAAGTTTGGTTCGTTTTGCATTCGGCGAGACTTTACCCTTTCCATTACACACCGGTTCAAGTATTAGAAGAAGGAGATCCGCAAGAAGAATTGATTTTTGTCGATACATGCTTCATCGGGATCAAGAAGAAAACGACTATTTAACTAAAATATTGTGGACCGACGAGTCTAAGTTTGACAGAGAGGGGACAACAAATTATCACAACTTACATTATTGGGCTCCACTAGAGGCAAATCCCCACATGGCAAAGCCAAGAGCCCATCAAAGAAGATTTTCGGCAATCGTGTGGATGGGAATCATTCATACGTATCTAATTGGACCAGTTTTTTTGCCTGACAACCTGAATGGCGAATCCTATGAGAACTTTTTGAGATCCGAACTCTGGGAGTATCTTGAAGACCTGCCTCTGAATATCAGGATGCAGATGATCTACCAACACGATGGCTGTCCCGCGTATTTCCGTCTGGGTGTTAGACAGTGGCTGGACGAGAAAAATCCTTGTCGCTGGATTGGCCGAGGTGGACCGACGCCGTGGCCAGCGAGGAGCCCAGATTTAACACCGTGTGACTATTATTTATGGGAGCACATGAAGTCACTGGTGTACGCTGAGCCCATAGACAACTCTTGCACAGTTGAAAGAAAGAATTATTGCTGCTGCTGATACTATCAGAGGACAACTAACTGGCCGCATCACGCGTACCAACATGAGAAAAAGACTACGGGCTTGCATAAGAAACGGCGGGCGTCAGTTCGAACAACAATTGCAATGAATTTTACCTTCATTTCATTATTGTATTTTACTTACCAATTGTAGTAACTTTTACTCAGTTTTTATTATTCTGTAGTACAATTACAACTGTGTAAATAATCTAATCGTGTAACTTAACCGTAGTTTAAAATAATAACTATCCCATAGCTTACAGTTACATTATTTTCACAAAAACACTTTCTTATCAATCAGAGAGTTGTGAAAATAGGAGACAAGCCATTGATAAATTTACTCCCTATTGTTGTATTACAATACATTATGTTTAGTTTCACACAGTTTTTGTGCACTTATCATACCAATTTAGATTCCTTATGAAACAAGGATATTATTTAAATTGTTTGTACGTTTTTTTGTATACTGATTTTTTTCTAAAACACCTTACTTACTGTAAAACGTTATTTGTTTTTCTTAGTTAAACATTTTTGAATGAAAATAAATACGTTGTTTGGTATTGTTTTCGAATCTTTTTTAATTTATAATAGTTAATTATTGAAATAATAACCCAAAACCACAAAAAATGTTTAATCGCCAACTTTTTTCTCTCTCGACTTTTTTACTCTGAAATATGGATTGTTTTCAAAACAATCTTAAATCTTCAATAACTTTTCAACCTTTGAATATAGGGTATGGTATTATATACTAATTTCGACAGCAAAGGGGCTGTACTATCACCTCCTAAAATGTTTTACACCTATTTACCTGTCACCCTGTATACAGTAGCAATAGGCCAGGAGAAAGCCGGAAACATGAGACATATAGTTAAGGAATTTTAAAAAATCGAAACTTTTGAACGAAAAGGAATAAAGAAATAAAAAAGGTGCTATCCAAATGACCGATGAATGGGCTTTCTCACGCAAAAATCGTTTGTTTTGTGGCGCCGTTATCTTTGGAGGAGATAGAAATTGAATATCGAACAGCACGAAAATTTACCCTTTTTTCGACTTTGACCGCCGTTTTTGATTGCAGTACTTTTTCGTACCTCGACGGTTCGTAGTCGCACGTAAAACGCCGAGTTTCTAGTTTCCGAAACGGTGTCGCTTTCCGATAAAACGTTTCGCGAACCCGGAAAAACCGCATCGACGTTGAAACGCTACGATCCAGACTCGAGAGAGAAAGTGAAAAAAAAAAATACAAAAGATCACCGCTTGATATTGTAGATTATAAGTATGTAATACCATAACAAGATCAACTTGAAATTTTGCTGATTCAACGAAAAACAGAAATACCTTTTGGTAACGTGAATGGCGATCAGCCTAGGCTTCTCGTCCTCTCTCCTCTCCAAGCTGCCGAACGTATTCGAGTTGTCCAGCCGTGTGACATTGATGACATCTTTCGACGCGCATGTCCAGAACAGCAATCGGCCAATAGCGTCAACGGCCAGATCGAAAGGTGACAGTTCCGGGTTGCTGGCCACTACGATGTTGTCAGATCTGTGACCGATCGCTTCTGAGCGAGAGCCACTTGCTTCTGAGCGTTTGATCAGGTGAGATTTGCCGTCGATCTGGAAGACATGTCATCAGAACCGAAGAACTGGGCGTTTTCAAAATGGAATAACACAAACAAATGGCAAATACTTGGTGACAAATTCGACCATCATCATTGGAAACTGTGAGAGATACGAAGTCGCTTAAATGGGAAAAAAGTTGCGTATTTAGGTAAGTGACATAATGCTGCTTAGAAAGTTTCGAAATTCCAGGTACTTCAGAAGAGAGAGAGAGAGAGAGAAAAAGTAGTTTCAATTTTTTCCTGACTTGATAAATTGTACATTAACATTGCTACTTTTTCTCATCTACATCATAATCATAATCAGAATTTCAATATGACGTTTCGTCTCTGGTTCTCCAGCACCAAATTTATTTTTTTTCTTCAGGACGTCATATTGGATTTATGCACATATATATTTTTTAATTGTAATTCCAAAAATGTATGATATTTCATACATTGATATTGCCTAAAAAAACTGAATTTCCTATAATATATTGAAATTATTAGATGGTCATTTGTTTCATATACTAGATTTATCGCAAAATTATTTTTATTTTTTACTGATATTATTTCAGATGGGATTTCAAAATAAATCGCATATTGTTATTGCCACTTTTTTCTTCTTTCAAGATGGCGTAATCGATTGTTCAATACGACTTTCGACTTCCATCACCAACGTTGTTTTTTCAAATGGATTTTGTACATGGTAAATGGATTTTTCAGAACTAAATTGTGCGATGTGTTTCCTTACTGGGCCACGAGTATATATACTTCTTGTTATTTCCGTTTTAAAGATACATTCCTCTGAAATAAAAAAAAACCCAAAGGCCACAGTCAATCGGGCTACGAGGGATATCTTTTAAGTTTTGCATATAGAAACATAGTAGGCCGCGCGGATCGAACGTCAGTACTAAATCTTAACGTCACTCTTTAGTAAACTTAAATTCAAAGTTTCACAACAATACGTGTCATGTTCTCACTACAGTGAATTTTTAAGTGTCACCAAGTCATTAGAAAAATGGAACTCAACCGAGAATATTTTCGCGCCATAATTTATTACAACTTTCAGAGACAATTATCGCAACAAGAATGCCTTGCTGAGTGACTGTCTGTTTTCGGCAACGAAGCGCCACATCAGTCGACAATTTTTCGTTGCTATGGAGAATTCAAACGTGGACGGGTGAGTCTTAGTGACGATTCCAGGGTGGGTGCACCCAAAACGGCAGTCATCCAGGAAAACGTCGATGCTGTGCGCAAACTCATCATTGAAAATAGACATGTGACATATCGCGAGATTGAGGCGTCCTTGAAGATCTCAAAGACCTCAATTAAAAAAATTTTACATGAAGAATTAGGAGTAAGAACACTAGTTTCTCGTTGGATACCCCACCTGTTGAGTGAAGAGCAGAAAGCAGCCAGGGTTAATTGGTGTCAAAAAACGCTTGATCGTTTCAATTCCGGAAACTCAAAAAATGTGTACAGCATTGTTAGTGGTGATGAATCGTGGATTTACTGTTATGAATCAGAAAATAAACGACAGTCGGCTGTTTGGGTGTTCCAAGGTGAAGAAAAGCCAACAAAAGTCATTCGTTCTCGAAGTGTTTCGAAAAAGATGGTCGCGACATTTGTGTCAAAAGCGGGCCATATTGAAACAATTCCTCTTAATGAGCAAAGAACTGTTACTGCGGATTGGTATATCACCATTTGTTTACCAAAAGTCATCACCGAGCTTCGAAAAATCAACGTCGAAAGAAGAATCATCCTCCACCAAGACAATACAAGCTCGCACACAGCCCAAAAAACAAGGCAGTATTTAACGGAAGAAAACGTGGAATTATTGGACCATCCTCCATATCGTCGGCTTTCTCACGAAGTGTCCTAACCAACGGTTAGTGAATTTTACAGGAGAGCAAGAAAACGAAATCAGCGTGTTGTTGATTGAGCATTGTATGTAAAGTTTAGATATTTCCGAATTGAAATTTCACGTGTATTAGCCTATATTCATTGTGAATCATATGCCGTTTCAATATTTGCGGTAGCTTATCAAGCTATTTTGGAAAAAAATGGAAAACGCACGTAGGTCACTTCGTGAGAATTTTCAGAAGATTTTTGTCAGACAGAGCTGAAATATATTTTCATTAAAGTTCTTGTTATTATAATTTTTTAAGATATACAGAATTTGTTTCATTTACTTATAAGCAAAGAATCATATTTCCAGCCAAGGGGGCGATCATCTCAGAAAATTTGTTGATTGTTAAATTTTTTAAGTAATCGTTGGTCTGCTGACAGCAAAGTTTATGTAAAAAAGTTCAGATCGAATTTTGAAGTTTGGCTACCGCCTAAAATATTTTCCTCATTATCCATGCCTAACATTGATGTATATTATGACAAAAATATTGCGTGATTAGATGAAGAAAACAACTCGAAACATCAAACCAATTTTTATTGAAATAAAAACTAAAAGAAAAGCAACTGACTTAAATATTATATTTTGACATATTACCAGCAAATGTTGATGTGTTGTGATCCTCAAAAAAACGCAAAATTATCAATAATTCATTCCATTTCATGGGCCAAATTTTGTAAAAGTTTTGGAATTCTGGTAAGCGTACAACTAACTGGCGTTTTTCGGATTTTACACAACGAAATTAAGTCGGAGTACTTCTTTTTTGTTATTTTTAAGTTGTTCTAGTTTAATATCATTTATATTATTACTATTTCTCATCAGCCTTTTTAACTCAATACTGTCATAACTAGTATCGTGGTCGCTAGACTTAAAAAACATTTTGGTGGGCGTGTCTTTTATTACAATAAACTCCGTTTAATATTTTGCCGTGTGGACAATATTCTTAAATCTTTTGAAAGTTTCTTGAAGTCAAAAAATTCATTGGGAATTACTAAATAAGGTTGACGTTTTCTGGCGAATCAAAAAAGCGGATAGAGTTATGAGGGTTCAAAAAGATCTCCAACTCCCGTTATCGCAGTATGAATGAACTGTGAGCAGATTCTCCCTCACTTTGGCCATGATTCCACCACCGAGGAGCGTATACTAACAAGGATTATTGGACACTAAGAGACTTATCTTCATTTAGGTCTCTTCGTGGGAATCATAAATTTACCTTTGCAGATAAGACACCCAGGGGCTAACGGTGTGTTGCCCACACTAATAGATATATAGTTATGCTTCTTCGTCAGATTAACCAGCATGGAATAATACACCTATATGCGGGTTTTCTCAATTTTTGGTATTTTGTCAGTTAGAACACTTCGTGAGAAAGGCGACGATATAGTCCCGATCTAAGTCCTAACGATTTCTTTACTTTCCCGAAAATTAAAAACAGACTGCGTGGTCAAAGAAGCAGTTGACGCATTCAAAAATGCCGTTTTGGATCTGGCAGCAAACGAGTGGAATAAGTGCTTCGAAAATTGGTTCGAGCGCATGCAGATGTGTATTAATCTTCGTGGAGAATACTTCGAAAAACAATAAAGTCATTTAAAACTACCTACCGTGTTGTTTTATTTCCATATGCAAAACTTAAAAGACATCCCTTGTATACTCATATATAAAAAAATCATACCCAGTAAAGGAAATTTGATTTAGGATCAAAGTCGATCGCCTTAACAGCCTTCAATCCTTGTATTGGGATTACTGCTTCAGGACAATCGGAAGTATCAGGTACCAACCTCACTACCAGATTTCTTAGGCTGTAGATCATGAAATTTGTCGGAGCTGAAAAAAAATTACAATTTTAAATTGCTTCAAAATAAAATCACAGTACAGAGCAATTCAACACTATGGGAATTGTTCAGAAAACATCGATGGCTTTGATTTATCGGAACAAATACAGGGTGGCCAATATATAACTGAATAATTTAAATTGCGCGTCATTTTGCGGTGCTTGGTATGGAGGTGTCCTTGAACTACTTTGAAGACGCTGCAGGTAATTCTCTTACTGTCACTGGCCACCAAGGTCACCGGAGTTAACGGCTCCTGACTTTATTGTGGGGATTCTTGAAAAATAGAGTTTATTCCAACAAACCTGAAGAGCAATATTACGGAACCGATTGAAAATATCGCTACCAGAACCTACCAAAAAGTGATTGAAAATGTAATAAAGGGGGCTCAGGTTTGCGCGGCTTCGAGAAGCAGACATTTGTCTGATATTATTTTTCATACATAATTTCCAAGTTTCAATAAAAGATTAAGATGAAAAAAATAGACGTATTTTATTTCATTTCACAAATATTCAAAATACAAACAAGTCGGTTATATAACGGCCACCCTGTAATAAGACGGATGCGCGATTATGCGATGTGCAAACTTCTCATATCGACGAGAGTTTACATGTAGAATTAAAACGACATGTCAAGTTTACTTTCATTTGCGCTACTTCAAAGTGAATATTACGGAAGTTTAAAATTACTTACGCATACATTCATTTCCTTGTAAAGAGTAATGCGTAGGACAGGCACAGGTATATCCTATGCCCTTTTCTGGACCCTCCGTTGGTAGGGCAAGGCACAAATGTGAACAGCCGCCGTTGCTGATGGCACATTGGTTGGTCTGCCGCTGTTTGTGAGGATGGTAGACCAAGAGATCTGTCACTCCGTCCAGTTTGTTGTAGATTCGTTCAAAGCTGGAACCGTCCGATTTGTTTGCTCTTACGATCTCACCTTAAACAGAAAATTGAATCAGGTGTGAAAGTCAATACGATCCTAATTTTTCGGATAATGTGCAGGGAAATCGAATTGAGTTTTGAAATTTAGAAAAAACATGGATTCGAAAAAATGGAAAATTCGTTAGTTTGAAAAAATGGAAGTAAATTTAGACTTATTGTCAAATATAAAATATACCAAAAATCGAAGCTCTTGATTTTAAGTACTTTTGTTGTCGTTTTGAGACTAAAAATTCAGAAAATAAATTATAGTTTAAAAATGCTGTAATATCAAATAGAACCAAAAAGTAGAAAACAATTTTCAAGTATAGAAGAGTTTGTGTTCTCGCAATAGAAAGTCCAACAATCAAGTATGATTAATCAATAAGGAATACGATGCACATCAACAAAAAATTCAATTAAACAAAAAAAGCGTGAGGTACAATTAACTATATTTTCATAATAAACTCCAATTCTATAAATAGCCACTAAAAAATAATTCTATCATTTAATCACAAGCTTTTTTACTATAACTGAATTTTTGTTAATATATTAATTTTCATATTGATCTCATTCCATACATGATTATCGCACTTCCTATTGTTGTAACACAAACTCTCCTATGCTTGAAAATTACTTTTTACTTTTTAGTCCGTTTTGCAATTAAAGCGTGTTTATTTTGAAGAATTGATTTTTTTAACAACTAATTTATTCATTAAAGTTACGGTGGCAGACGGTAAATGTACACGGATAACCCTACGACAAATATCGAGTTTTTGTAACTCCTCTTGTGTTATATGCCGCAACGAGACGAAATCACGCAAGTCGGCGAATGACGGCCGCCTTATATTTTGTGGGACTTTCTCAAGGACAAAGTCTATTATATTCTATTCCAAATTTAAACAGGTACTGAACTTTCATGATCTATGGCAAAAAGTTAGTGACTACGCAAGGATTACAAACTTTTCATGAACTAAGATTGATTTAATAATAACCATTGACTTTGCAACGTTACAAGAGTCACTGTTACAAGCCAATATCACTGAAATTTTTAAAGATGCTGACACTTACTTCTCAAAAATTATGGATTGATTCACAAATATTTGTAGACTCTGAATTGACGCGTGATAATGACTATAAAAAGTTTATGATCACTCAATCTGAGGAAGATTGGATACAATATAAGAAATCAAGAAACAAGCGTTTAACAAATCTTAGGAACCAAAAGAAAAAATATTATGAAAACAAAATCGATAGCAATAAAAATAACAGTAAAATGATGTGGAAGACACTAAAAAATATTGAATCAATCGAAGATGGGGATCCAAATCTATGTCACATGCAAGTTACTGATAATTCTTCTATGAGACAATTCCAAAGAATAAATATCAGCTATCTTTCAAAAGCTATTACAAGATTGAAATCGAATAGAAATCCTAGTGAACATCTTTCAAAAATGTTTATGAAGGAATGTTTCAACATTATTGGAGAAAAGTTATTATTGTTAGTGAATCACTTTTTAGTGTATGGCGAATTTCCTTCAAAATTAAAATGTTCTACGGCTACTCCTGTTCTAAAAGTGCAAAATTCTGTGTTATATACAAACATGCGGCCAATTAATGTACTGCCAGATGTCGAGAAGCTCTTAGAAGGAATCATATATGATTCAGAAGAAAGTATTCTACTGAAGCAGCAATGCAAATGGTAGTAGAAGAATGGAGTCGAAATATGGATGAAAAAAAGTTTACAGTAACATTGTTCTTAGATTTCAGAAGAGCATTTGAGACTATTGGGTTCAGTATACAACTTATTACAAAATTATTTAATCAATAGAACTCAAAGAACTAAAATTGGCAATACATTATCAAACATTAAAAACATTTCGGTAGGTGTGCCACAGGGTAGCAAATTAGCTCCAATACTATTTATTTCATATATTAACAATACTCCTGAAATTTTACAACACTTGCAAAATTCAACTATTTGCTGATGATACATTAATACAGACATTGAAACTGCAATAGAGCTGTTGAATAATTATATGAAAAACGTAATAAATTGGTTAAATTTAAATAAACTTAAAATAAACACAAACAAAACAAAATATATGCTGATAGGAAAATCTTTAGATCAAAATACGATAAATCTTACAATTAATCATGAAAAAATTGTGACAATCGAATCATTTAAATATTTGGGCATATACGTAGACACTAAATTAAAATTTGAAGGGCGCTATGAATATATTATTTCTAAAATATCCAAGAAAATAAATTACTTTTATAGTATTTCGCATAGCCGAAGCGTTTATTCTAAAAAAATTGTGTACAACACTATCATTCTTCCTCTTTTTTTATATTGTTCGACTATTTTGTTCACTGAAATTTTCAAAATTACAAATATTACAAAATAACGCTATGAGAATGATCTTAAATAAAAATTAATATACTACAATAAATTGTATGCTGAAACAACTACAATGGTTAAATATCAAAAATTATATAGCCTACTTGGCTTTCATTTTCATATTCAAGTTAAAAAATCGTGTTCTACCAAATCACTTAGAAAATTTTATTGTATTGAACAATGAGTGTGACAATTATTCTGCTAGAGGAAGTATAAACTTTCATTTACAAAACTGCAGTAGCAATATAACGAGCAAGTCAGTATTTCAAAAGAGATTGTACGAATTTAATAAATTAAGTAATGATATCAAGATGTGTGTCAGTTTGAAAATGTTCAAAGGGAAATTGAAAGAATATCTCATGGAAAACCAGAATTCATAGTAGTGAAATTTTGTATAAAAATATGTAGTCTCGAAGACATAATGTATTTTGTGATATACTGTGTAATATGGACATTATGGATATTGTAGCATTAATGCTAAATAAATCTGAAACAAAGAAACAAACAAATTTACGACCTGAAGCGACGTATTTCTCAAGTTATGTAATACCTGTCTTGTTATCGCTCCAGTAAATATAATCTCCGTACAAGGTCAATCCAACTGGTTCGAATACGTTTTCTTTGATCAAAAACTTCTGATCGTTTCCATTCAAATCCGCTGAGATGATGCCTGCAGTGTACCTCTCCGACCAGTAGATTCTCTTTCTATCATAATCGAGAGCCAGCGAAGTTGCAGGGTGAACGGTTGTGATCAGTTTGATTTGATTTCGACCGTCCATGGCGGCTTTTTTGATCGAGTTTGTACTGCCCCATTCGGACCAGTACATATGCCTGCAGAAAAATCAATAATAGTAGTAACAATAATTATTCCGGCTTTATTACGTCGAAATTAAGCCAATAGCTACTCTTACATTTAACCCTGTTAAAAAGAGAATATTGCAAATGGAGAAGAATTTTAGATGAGAAATTAACAGTATTTTTAGACTTCAAAAGGGCATTTGAGACTGTAGATAGGGAAACATTAATGACATTACATCCCTATGGTTTTAAAGGATCAGGACGAAAGATTTTACAAAATTATTGGACACTGCTTAGAACTGTTAAATAGTGATATTAAAAAATAAATTGGTTAAATGTTAATAAAATTAACTTGAACACTAATAAAACAAAATGTATGTCAATAGGAAAACTTTTAGGTAACAATACAATCAGGCTCATGATTAATGATGAAAAAGTTGAAGTAGTCGAATTTCAAAAATATCGCAAAAGATAAATTACTTTTATAGAGTTTCCCAGTATGTATTAAAAAAGTGTATAACACTATAATTATTCCCCTTTTTTACGTTGTTCAACCATCTTACTTACAGCAAATGAAAACACATTTTCAAAATTACAAATTCTACAAAATAAAGATATAGAAATCATTTTAAATAAAAACAAACCAATATGCTAGGATTAACTCACGGTTAGAAGAACTAAAACGCTTGAACATAAAAAAAATCATATGTTCTTTAGTTCTCATTTTCATATTCAAATTAAAAAATCATGTATTACCACCACAAACTTCTTTGTGCATACATATGTACATACTTTGTATATATCTGAAGTTAACAAACCTATTTTTTTCTTGAGTTTAAAGTTTTTTGTTTATTTTAAAAATATTCATATACATATACGTTTAAAATTTCCCAGTTTCTTCAATAGATCCAGTTTTCATTAAAAATACGATTTTTCTTGTTTTTATTTTATATGGACACTTCCTTACTTCTATTGTCCGACCATCTTCTTATATAACCTTTCACATGGAATTGTTAATTCTTCGATGTTTGTTTATTCTCTTAAATTTGAAGAAATTAGTATTGTTTTTTTTTTCATTGTTATGGCAGACTTTTTTAATGGTTTGTCATGTAAATGGAATTATAGAAATTCTGCTGGACAATAAATGCTATTATTATTAGCATTAAAACAGATCAGACTCTATATTACTCTAATGCCAAAATATGAAACGCTTACCCAGCTGCAGGATCCAAAACAATCCCATGAGGCTCGAAAGCCTCATCCCACAACAAAGTCCTCCTGCTGGTACCGACCAATCGGGCCACTTCTATCCTGTGCATGACAGGATCCGTCCAATAGACGTTCAGACCCAGCCAATCCACCGCGATGCCTTCCGGGAGGTACAGACCGAGGTCGACTACCCTTTGAGGGTCGCTGCCGTTCACGAAGGCCCGCATCACTGTGCGAAGTTTGCTGTCAGACCAGTAGATGCGCTGGGTGTTTGTGTCATAGTCAACGGCACTGGAAATAATAGGATTCGGTCATTACAACAACCTCATGGATCACACAAATTGAATTTTCCAGGAGACAATAAAAACCCTGTCATTGATAAATAAGCATGGGCTCAAAACAGCATACGAGATTTGTTGATCTCGCAACACTGGAGGCGCCGGGCTTAGAGGCGAGATGAAAAGATAAAAAGGCAGTACTTGTGTTATTCAGAGAACAAAAGCAGTATAGTTTGACGATTACTGCTTATTTGCTTTGATAAATGGATTTACTGCTATTATGCTTGGAAAATGAAATATTTTACAAAGTGGCAAACCAACTATTTTTGTTAAATAACGTGATCAATGATATACAGGGTGGCGCATCGAAAACGAAACAGACGCATTTTATAATGATATAAAATACATGAGCTTCAGTTCAGTAGTTTTGAAGATTTATTGATTTAAAGCTTAAAGTAGACTTTAATAGGTACACCAGAAGAAATTTGACTAAAAGAATTTACTTAATAAGTAAATGCTTTTCTTCACAACGTCCATGGTTTGTTCATCATTTTGTTGTTGAAAATGGTTATTGGATCGTTTTTTTTGTGGCAAAAAAGTTATTTCTTGAAGAAAGATAAGGAAATATCTAGTACTTATTTTAAATAGGAATTTAGTACATAGTTTGCGATTGATTTGACCTAACTTTGTTGCTAAAATAACTTGTAACGCTTTATTACATAAATTAACTATGGTATATTCCACAGCAGAAAGAGTTGAAATTATCGAAATATTTTTCGGAAATAATCAGTGAGCTAATAGAACAGCAGAAATATTTAATGAGCGACATGAGAACAGTAACGTGCATCGAAAATATGTTCTAGAACTTGTAGCTAAATTTCTGGAAACTGGGTCAGTCGCCAATAAAAAACGCAACATTGAAAATCCCATAAGGAACGAAGCAATAGAAGTGGGGGTTTTAGGGCAAGTTTATGTAGATCCTACGTTAAGTACCCGCAAATTGGAGACTGTGTTTGGTGTTAGTCGACCTATTGTCGAACGGATTCTAAAGGCCCATAATTTTCATCCGTATAAAATTCACCTGGTACAAGAATTTAATGAAGACAATTTTGATCGGCGATTACAATTTTGTGAAGATATGAGTGAACGAATTATAAACGATGAAAATTTTCTATTCAACATTTGCTTTTCCGACGAATGTTCCTTTTTCTTAAATGGCGTAGTAAATCATCATAACTACCGATAAAATCTTTATTATTGCATGGAGAGTCATGGTGGCCATTTTCAACATTTAGTTGCCTAACGGGTCAGTTCATTCTTCATTTTCAAATTACTTTGCTGCCAAATGTATTGATCTCCACTAATGATGATGTATTAGTTTTATTTAAGCTTTAAAACAATAAATCTTCAAAACTACTGAACTGAAGTACATTAATTTTATATCATTATAAAGGGAATTGAAAGACCTTTAAAATAAGGTATCACTCGACCTCCCTTTTCATTTAAGATTTTGCCAAGCTTGTGTCCACCTCGAAAACAAAATCGACGGATCTGAGCGTTTTTCAAAAAAAAAACTGAGCTGCCAGTAAATGCGTCTGTTTCGTTTTCGATGCGCCACCCTGTATTTTGTAATCGTAATCATAAAAGAAATGAATTGGCGTCAAAATTTGCAAACGGCAGAAAATTAACTTCACTGCCTCTAATCTGAGTACTTCAGCATAAACTTTCTTCAATAATAATCGGCAATCTGTTGGAGAAGAACTCACGTGCTATGAGTACCATACTGCAAATGCATTTTTCAACAAAAAACAAGATTTTGCAAGATAGATGTTGTGCGTGTAATTTGATTTTTATAATTATTCAACCTTTTTAAAATATTCAGCGTACATTTGAAGGACTTTCTCAGTCATATAGATGAGGAGGATTGTGTCAACGGTTTTAGTAGGAAACAAGAAAACTCTTAAATAAGTTAATTTGGACAACCGGATAAGGAAAAGTATTCGACCGTAACCTGGTTTTTGTAGTTAGTGAATTATTTTGAATATTCCCGAATATGGCATTATACAGGAAATGAGTTTACGTCTAGATCACAAATACGCAAGACTTTTCGAAAATGTTTGCATTGGTAAACTCAAAATATCGTTTAGAATCTTTGTCTATCTAGTGCCAATATATCCGCATTTGTCCCAAATTCACAACCCATTTTATTTACAAACGAACCGTTGGCATAGAGAAAGCAATATTGACCCGCTCATTCAGTTTATGCAATAACCAGAAATACAAGGCACTACCAAGTAGGTTAGTGTTATAACTTCTGCAACATGTCTTCGACTACAACGTTGTAACACGAATGATGGATTGTAGCTATTAACAACTTTGTATATTGTTTTACAATAGCTAATAAGTTAACATCTGTCTTTTCAATTCTTCCTTGAAGTAGAAAGTAGAGAAATAACAGGCGATAATGGTGATTCAAGACGGGAAGACGGTACTTTCACTACCACAGATACAGGGTGTCCCGAAAAAAGTGTGCAATTTTCTACCAGCGGTTTCTAGAGCTTGAAATAGGAAGAAAAGTTTATATAAACATAGGTCGACAAACGTCCCCTAAGGGCGCTACGGTCTTTTAAAGGGGCTCTCCTGAAGATGGTTTTTCCTTAATATTTCCGAAACGTGTTGAGATCAAGACATAACATTTGGTATTCTAGCCTAGTTTTTTATGCTGAATTTAAAAATATTCACAATTTTAGACAGTTTTGTTTGGAAGCGTATGTAACAGGGACGGACTGAGGTTACTTGAGCCCCAACATTTTTGTGTGATTCTATTTTTGAAATTCAATTTTTGAATTTGAAAATTTAGGGTTTTCTACATAAAAATGGTACTCTTATTGAATATCGATAAATTGTGCCATTTTTGAATAAAATCAAACTAAAAAATTTGTCACATGATAGGAAATGTACTGCGAATTTAAATGAATTGTTGAATAATTAGCCATGGCAACGAAAAAACTAATTTAATAATTGGTAACTATTACATAAATACATATTTCTATTGCAACATAGCTAACATTTAGGCAAAAACAAAAGAAATAAATTTTGTCTACGAACGAAAGTGAAATTTGTTTAAAAAAGAAGACATACAGTTGGATATACTTAAAACTAACTTTACAATAAGTGTTCAAATAAATTCCCATTTTGTTGAATACAGAGTCTCGCTCATCTAACTAATAATTGCTTAGCCCGAAAAATGGAAAATATTTTTCTTCTTATTTCATTTGCAGCCTGATGGATTCTTTGAAGTAAATCTTCTTGAGTATTTACTTCAGTCGAGTAAACTAGGTCTTTTAATGACCCCCAAAAATAGAAATCCAATGGATTTAGGTCAGGTGAACGTTGCGGCCACGCTATAGGACCTTCTCGGCCTAACCACCTGTCTGGAAAATTGACATTCAACCAATTTCGAACATTGCGTCCAGAATGTGCAGGGGCGCCATCATGTTGAAAAAACATATTTTTTTGAAACTGCTGGCGCACATCCAATGGTATTATACTGAGCTCATTCTGAAGAAAGTTCAGATACACCTCTGAATTAAGACGATTGGGAAGTACAATAGGCCCAATTACTTGATCCCCAATTATTCCTGCCCGTAAGTTCAATGAAAATCTATGTTGGAAATTTGTACGGCGAACAACTTTTGGATTTTCATCTGACCAGTGATGCATGTTATGGAAATTAAAAGCACCATTCCTAGTAAATATTGACTCATCCGACCATAATATTCTAGGAATAGTGTTTTCATTTGCTAATATCTACTGGCAAAACTCGATTCGTGGTAAAAAATCTGCCTCCGTTAAATGCTGCGCCTGTTTAAAATGATAATCCTTGCATTCTTGTCATTCTTCCTATCTAAAATTATTATTTTTAGGATAACTATCAAATAGGTATTCATAAATTTTTCTTACTATTGATCGAGGTATATCCATATTTTCTGAAACATTTCGTATGCTTATTTGCGGATTATTTTCAAACATATTTAAAGCAATATCCATACGATGATTTCCCAGTGGCCTTCCTGAGCCCTGCATGCGCTTGGGAAATCTTCTTTGATATTCTCTTACGGCTGCCAATGGAGTGCCATTGCAAAACCCGTACACAAAATGCATGTCAGTCAATTCTCTGTCTGTAAATCTTGGCATTTTAAATCGATTTAATAAAAATTTTGATTTTAATCTTGTAATTTTACACTGCTAACAATGTCAGCTTAACGTCAAAATAAGTCATAACAAATCAAAACAACTTTTGTTTGCAGTCATGGCTAACTATGTATAATCAACAATTCATTTAAATTCGCAGTACATTTCCTATCATGTGACAAATTTTTTAGTTTGATTTTATTCAAAAATGGCACAACTTATCGATATTCAATAAGAGTAGCTTTTTTATGTAGAAAACCCTAAATTTTAAAATTCTAAAATTGCATTTCAAAAACAGAATCACACAAAAATTTTGGGGCTAAAATAACCTGAGTCCGTCGCTGTTACATACGCTTCCAAACAAAACTGCCTAAAATTGTTAATATTTTTAAATCCAGCATAAAAAACTAGGCTAGAATACCAAATTTTATGTCTTTATCTCAACACGTTTCGGAATTATTAAGGAAAAGCCATCTTCAGGGGAGCCCCTTTAAAAGACCGTAGCGCCCTTAGGGGACGTTTGTTGACCTATGTTTATATAAGCTTTTCTTCCTAATTTAAGCTCTACAAACCGCTGGTAGAATATTGCACACTTTTTTCGGGACACCCTGTATAGTGTCAACGAGGTTTTATGTAATACTGACCTAATTTGGAGACTTGCCATCGATAAATACAACCAGTCGAGCAAAAAACTTTATCCAAAACAATAACAAATTCGTGTAAACATTATTTATTTTGTCCGTTAAGTAATGCCTTGGGGTTGTTTAAACATACGTTATAGTGCAGTCAGAGTAGGAATTAATTAACATACAGGTCTGTAAATTAAGTGATGAGACTGAGTCCGTGTGATCCAAAATATAATCGGAACGGTGACCATATAGAACACACACAATTTTACTGTTATAATTCACACTACATTTTTATTATAGGCGCTGAATTAAATGGTGTTTTTAAGCAAACAAGCGAAATAATTGATTGACATCGCGGGAAAAATCGTATTCCAGATAATTTTTGGGTCATTTGAACATACGAGATCTGTAAATTAAGTAATGAGACTAATTTTTATTTTTTTAAATAATGAAAAATAGTGAGCCTGTCCAGTCCTGAGCCCCGAGTAACCTCTGCAGAGGAAATACAAAGGGCCCAATTGGGGCTAGAATTATCCTTACTCCATTTTTTTACACCGAAGCAGCCGCGTAGGCAGATGCTTAAATGCCAGGGCACCGCGGCTGTTGTGAGGATTCCAAAAAAATTTTGTTACTCCGATTTTTGATCTGTCTAAGATTAGTAGAACTGCGAAAAACTTCGTCTTGCCGGTTGTTTCACAATCTCGACAACCTCTTGGGACAAAGGAGCGGGCGTATCCGCCAGTTCTGGATGTACGAAGTTCGACACGGATAGGATGGGAGGCCGAAGTCAGGCGGGTCTGTCTGGCAGGCACATCGCGCGGCGGCGTCATGAAGGAGAGCTCTGAGGAGCTTGACCGGTGGTGTAACGGTAGAAGAGAGCTAGATCGCAGACGGCCTGCCGCACAGTGTGGCGCCCAATGGACAAAATTACTCAAAAACATAATTTTTGACATTAGAATTCTGTTGCTTTTATTATACCATTGGATAGATAAATAGTCACTGCAACACGTAAGTACAGTACTTTAATCAAGTTGGCTGCGATTTACCTATTTTAGCAACTTTAGAGTTAGACATGTCGAGACCTGTCAAGAAGGCGAAAAATCTCTGTTTTATTGCTCGGGAAAGATATAAATTTTGTGACGAAATATTTAAATATTTTAACTTTTCCAATATGGCTGGTAATGAGGCTGGTAAGTACATTATATTGATGTATAGATTTATTTAAAATATAATTATAATTAGATAATTTTTTAAGTTAAAGTGACTATTACCGATTTTTTTATTTTTTTTTAAACTTTTGAGTTTATTTAGAGTTTTACAAAAATCACCTCCCATCACCCTAATTTTTTTTTATTTATTGTTTATCTGTCCATAGTAAGTTTTGATAGAAAGTTTAAATCACGTCATGCCACGTCTAAGGGAGATATAATTTTTTTTAGGACATGGTGCTATTGTCAGAAATAGAGATTTGATTGATGTGTGGATAGAAGCACCGAGAGGAAATAGAAAACAGGCGGTTTATGAAAAGATATTATCTCTTATTGATATAACAGATGAACCTTCCAAACATCTTAAAAGTAGGACAATCTCGGAATCGACTTTTACAAAATCAGGTATATTGGTTAGACAAGATTATATATAGAATAAATAATGATTCTGAAGAAACACATCTTCGGATGAGGAATAAGAACCTCCTTGTCGCTCAGTTGGACGGCCACGGGTGCCATTTGAAGAGGCATCGAAGAAAACAAAACGAAGACGTGTAGCCGAACTAACCACAGACAGATCTGCAAATAAACTTCAATTTGCTGTAAATGTCGTTTCTGGAAGCAATCACAGTGAGGTCTCGCCACAAATTTTTAGTTTTAGTACAGCTGAACCTTTAGCCCTTATGGTAGATTTGGACATATCCGTAAGAAAGTATTTGCTACTTAGGTCTGTTATTAATGGTAAGGCCCAGAACTGCCTTCCTAGTTATAAAGAATTACAGAAAACAAAAAATGCTATCCTCCCTTCACAATTTATTATTACTGAAATTTCTGCAGAAGTTGATTTGCAAGAACTTCTACAGAAAACAGCTGGAAGTATCCTTGAAATAATAAATTTTGAAGAGAGAGATTGCCGGATTAAAGTGATATGCAAGTGGGGATTTGATGGCAGTTCTGGGCATAGCCAATATAAGCAGAAATTTTCTGATTTAGAAAACACCGACGAATTTCTGTTTCTTGTAGCAATGACGCCACTCAGATTGATTGATATGGAAACGAATAAGGTATTGTGGAAAAATGAGAGCCCTTCATCTACTTTATATTGTAGGCCGATCAAGTTTTTATTTAAAAAGGAAAATGCTGATTTAGTGCGGAATACGGAAAAGGAAATAATAACAAAAATTGAAAATTTGATTCCTATTGAGATTAAAACAAAAGAAGGGCACTCTTATATAATTGAAGTTGATATGATGTTAACAATGTTGGACGGCAGTGTTGGAAACGTTCTATCAGAAACAAATTCAACTATGAAGTGCATCATTTGCGGAGCCACACCCAAGGACATGAACACGTTAGCAGGGATTAACCGTCCTCCTAACGTAGACAATTACCGGTTTGGTTTGTCAACTTTACACTGCTGGATTCGTTTTTTTGAATGCTTGCTCCATATTGGATACCGCCTGCCAATTAAATCTTGGCAGGTTCGTGCGCCTGAAAACAAAGCTATAGTCGAAGCAAACAAAACACGAATCCAAGCAGAGTTCAGAGCCAAGCTGTATCTAATAGTTGACAAACCAAAACCCGGGTATGGCTCCTCAAATGATGGCAATACGGCCAGAATTTTTTTCCACAATCCACAAACAAGTTCAGATATCACAGGGGTTGACAGGGAATTAATCGAGAAATTTGCGATCATCTTAGGAGTGTTAGCTAGTGGTTGCGCTATTGATATGGAAAAGTTTGCGTCATTGCTGGAAGAAGCAAGAAATTTGTATAACCACCTTTATAAGTGGTACAACATGCCAAACACGGTACATAAGGTCCTTGTTCATGGGTGTGAGATAATTGATGCATTTTGTTTGCCCATTGGAGAACTGTCGGAGGCTGCGCTTGAGGTTCGCCATAAAGAGGTTAGGAAACATTGATTATCTCACACCAGAAAATGTTCAAGAACAGATACGAATAAGGATCTCATGCGTGTTCTTTTACTTACTTCTGATCCTTTTATATCCTCAAAAAGAAAGGTGAGCTCAAAAAAATATAAGAAATGCAACGAGGCAGTTCAGAACTATTTAAAAAAGCAAGAAAATGATGATTTAGGTATTGACTTAGGTACAATAACGAATGACACAGCACCGAGCAAGAAATCCTATTCCGATTAGAATGGGTATATTTGGTGTTATTTTTTTAATATAGTTTATATTATTATTTCATACATTACCTACTAAGTAATTGTTATTTTTTAAATATATTTTTTTAAATAAAAACCTAAATATCAATTTCAAATTATACAGATTTATTTTTTATTTGAATTATTCTTATTATTTTTTCAAATAGATAGACAAATTTAATAAATCATTCGGTAAAGATCTTGAAAAATAAAAGCGTGACTTTTTTGTCTCTCTGAAGAATGCTGTAATAATATCCTACCTTATCAAAATTTATTCGAGATCATCAACTTAATATTTTGGCTTTTACAAAAAAAAACGATTTATGCTCCCCCGCCCCTTCTTATTATTTTAAATAATTTTTGATATACTTTAGAAAGCTACTTAAATAAGTAATCGCCCTGCGTTTACAGAATTCAAATAGGACCACTGGTTTTTAAGATATCGAATTTTGTCCCTGATCCCTATAAAGGAACACACTGTGTGCCGGTGAGAAAGGGTCCCGAGACTTAGAGAAGAGTCATCGATCAGTCGGATAGCCCTCGTCTGGACAGCATCGAGCATAAATAATGTAGTCGGGGCGGCAGCACCCCAAACGTGTGAGCAACACTCGAGGCTGGGTTTTATCTAGGCCTTGTTCAAAGCAAGGACGTCATGGGGAGAAAAGTACTTCTTAGCCCTAAACGAATAGCCTAGCTTTTTCACAGCAGGTGCCGCTGTTGGCGAGATCTGGACTCCGACCAGCCCTTTGGCAGAACTCGGTGATCCATCGAAATCGGCTGAGAGCTAGGACGCTTTTTAGGTTCGTTAAGAATCAGTACTGTGTTTTGGAAGCATTGAACTGTACGAGATTGTTGCGGCCCCAAGCAGTGATAACCTCCAGGTCCCTCGTCAGAGAAGTCGCTGCTAGACTTCCTTTTTCCAGCTCTGAATTCCTGTATGTAGAGTGCTGTCATTAGCAAAGCTGTCTATTGAGTTGATCGTACATGAAATGACGTCGTTGATATGTAAGAGAAAGAGTGTCGGAACCAAAACCGATCCCTGGGAAACATCCGCGTTGACGTTGTGGGGTGAAGAAGAGAACCCAGAGAGAAAGTCAGCCACCCTTCTGCAAAGCTTCTTTGGGAGGCCATAGGATGGAAGTTTTCATAAGAGGACAGCGTGCCACAGCTGATCGAACGCTTCCGTCATATCAAGAGCAACGACATGAGCCTCACCATAAAACTGGATGAGTGTACTCCACAATTGCGTGACGTAAGCAATACAATACAAACCGTCACCATCTTCATCTTCTCATCATCAATATGCCAAATGTTAACTTAAACATTTTAATAATGATAAATACACGTGCACGTTCATACCATTTTTTTAGTTACAATTACTAAACTATTCTATTCATATTAATTACAATGATAAATAGATCGATGCGGAGGAGCAACAATTACTTTTTTGCATGTGATCAAAGAAAAGATACAACGCATTCACATTGTATTTAGCTAGCATCAGATAAACAAGCTAAGACTTCTTTGCGTAACGTTACATAATTCGCGCTGCATTATGCTAAGCTTATAAAGGTGTGTGTATTTTACAAAAATCCTTAGTTGATCGGTGGAACGTATATCGCTGACATGAAGGTACGCGTCTACTTGGTGGTGTTTTTGCAATTTTTGGGATATTCTTGTGGAGTACTATCGTTCAAAATATGTAAGTAATTAGATTTTATTCCAGTCACATTTACATCAATAGGTCACAGGATAAGACGATTTGGAATACAAAGTTTCGCAATAAGTGCAACAGAGGATTTTTTATTCGTATACTAATAATAAGGAGCTGCCATTTACATACGTATACATTTTATCAATTCTCATCCAGTTGAGGTCATTAGTGGCTCTCGATATATGATCATATTCTTTGAGGTCATTTACAAGTCTGCAACATGTGTCATAATACTTTGAATACAAGGTTTTGTTATAATATTCAAATTCAAAATATTTATTTCGTCATGAATAAACATCATAAACAAAAGAAATTCTACATATAGAGTAATGACGAAAAAGGACAGTCTCTAAATTATAAAACCGATACATTGGACCCTTTAATACAAAGAGTCCACGCGAGAAAGCCCTGAATACCCTAAAAGTCCTTAAACAAAATTAAAAAAACAATAAAGAGGCAAATAAAGAGGCGGTGAAACACAAAAAAGGCAAAAACGAAGAAAGAACCCCCGGGAGCTGGCAACGGACGCGAAAAACAAATCTATACAACCTGTCAGCGAGTAGGAATGTAAAAACGATATTTTTGCTCACACAAACGCTGCTAAACTAGCTGGTGATTCTGTAACAACGTTTTCGTCAGTTTTGAGAATGTTTTTGACGATGTGCTTTTAACTGAAGTTCGTAAATTATTCCATAACTGAACCGCTACATAGGCAAACGATCGTCGGAAGGAACGCGTCCTATGCCTAGGTACGATAAAATTGAGATTATTTCTGCTTCTCTGGGGACTAGGCAAAGGCACAAATCTTTCTCTTAAATAGGGCGGTTGACCTGTTTTTATAACCCTATAGATAAAAGAATACATGTGATATTTTCTGCGATTCGTCATGTTTAATATGTTGTAGTTATTCAGATAAGGATGATATGGTTTCGATATGGAATTCCAAACGCAAATCTCATGCAACTATTTTGAACTTTTTGTATGCATTTTTTGGTTCGCGACGATAGCGAATCACCATAGACGACATCTCCATAGTCAAAAAGTGATAAAATTAAGGTATTACACAAATAATATTTTTGTTTGGCTGATAAATGTTTTTTTAATTTGTTTATATTTTTTAGTCGCATGTAAGCTAAATTTGTTCTGTTTTTTATATGCCTGCCAAAGCCAAGCGAGCTATCAAATATAATGCCTAGATTTTTTGTCTCCTGAACTATGGGGATTCTGTCATTGTTAATAGAAATTACTAAATTTTGTTCAAAATGTTTTCTTTCAATACTGTTTTTATTCATAACCATTACTTGCTATTTTGAGGGGTTTAGTTTAAGATTGTGATGCTTTGCAAATCTGTCAATTCTTTGGAGATATGAATTTAGTTGTTGTTGTGCAATATGGATTGTGGTTTTATTGACAGGGAGGTATATTTGTGAGTCATCTGCATATTGTTTTATCTTTGCAAATTTTACCGATTTGACCATGTCAGATATGTAGATTGAAAATAGCAAAGGAGATAAAATTGAACCTTGAGGAACTCCTATTTTTATAGGTTTAAAATCGGTTTTGTAAATAGCAGAATCATTTGCTAATATAACACAGTTTGAACGGTTGCTTAAGTATGTTTTTATTAGATTTACGGAGTTCTGCGAAAACCCCTGGTAATGTAACTTAGCTAGTAACATTTCATGATTCAGAATGTCGAACGCTTTACTAAAATCGAGAAGAACCATGCACGTACTATTTTTTTGTTCTTGATGATGTCTGATATCATCCAAGATATTAACTAATGATGTACTTGGGCTAAAGTTTTTCCTAAAACCGGATTGACTATCGGGTATGATATCGTTTGTGTCACAAAAAAATCTAATTTGATTATAAATATGCCTTTCTAAAATTTTGGATGTAGCGGGTAATATGCTAATAGGCCTCAAGTCTGTAAATTCTTTAGGTTCTGCTATTTTTGGTAAGGGTTTAACAATAGCTTTCTTCCATATTTCTGGAAATAATCCCTCCAAAATACATGTGTTGATTATATTCAGCAAGGCATTAGTACAAAATGGGATACATAACTTTAGGTTTAGAAACCATCCTCTCCAATGGCATTTGATGAGATATTAGTTACAATTTTGATTAGACTGGCACTGTCTAACAGTTGGAAGCTAAGATAATCGTTAATGTTTACATTGTTTTTGTAAAAATTGATTAATTCTTGGGAAGCAGTGTCTGGTAAATTGTCGGTCTGCTGGAAGTAATTGTGTATGTCATTTACATTTTGTAAGTGTTCGGGTATAGTTGAGTGAGTTCTCTTGCATGTTATGTTGAGCTTTTTGGTAGTGTCCCAAAATTCCTTACCTTTCTTTGTTGAGAGTAAGTTAGAGAATGTATTTTTTTCTCGGATAATTGCATGCTTTGTATAGTTCCTTAGTTGTTTATAATATACATAGGGATAATAAATCACTAAGAAATGCGATATTTTAGACAAGAAAGATTCACACAATTGCTTCCTCGCAGATTTACGTAATTTATTTGCAAATAAAACTTTGAGAATGATCCACAGGAACTATGTATTGTTAGAATACTGCTTTTTAGTGATAAATCCAAATTTGTTTGGCTATAGGGCCAGAGATTTAGGTGCCATTTTGATATACGCATTTAAACAAAACTCGTAAACTAACAAACTTACGTGAAAAATGACAGTTGTTACTGGCTTTTGAAGCAATTATAGAATTGGCGAAAAAATAGAATCACATTTTTTGAGGTGGTGAAATCATAGTAGGTACACATTCAAAAGAAAAACATCTCCCCAAACTTACGATATCTCACCAAAATTAATTTTTATATACCTAAGATGGGTTTGAAAAGATCAGTAACTTTTTATCGTAATATGCCAAAAAATAATTGTCTTAGCTAAGTCCCCGATAGATTTTATTTGTAAGAGGTACAGCACAATTTCTGATGGTTTAGACATAAATAGTTCATCGCTGGATGTATTCTCTGTGTATTACTATACTAAGTGACATATAAATCCGAACACCCAGTTTAAATGGTTTTATTTTAATAAAATTTTGTATAAGTACTTAATGAAGCATAATAAGTAAATAATAAAAATTTCAAAATGATTGCACTGCTTTAAAGCCCTTTGACCTTTAATAATGTGTGGATGCACCCTGATGTGCTACGCATTCTCCAACGCGCCTAGGTATGCTTCTGATCAGGTGGTCAATGTCCTCCTGTGGTATCTCATTCCAGGCAACCACCAACTCCTCTCGAAGTGCTTCTAGAGTCTGAGGAGAACGTTGCAAATTGAGCAATCTCCTACCCATCATATCCCACACGTGCTCAATTGGGGATAAGTCGGGAGATCTTGGTGGCCATGCTAACAATGTGACATCATTATGTTGAAAAAAGTCTATTGTGACTCTTGCAACATGTAGTCGGGCATTATCTTGTTGGAAAGTTGGATCTGCCAGGGTGTCAAGATAGGGTAAAAGATGGGGTTCTAGAACTTCGTGGATATAACGCTGCGCGTTCATGTTACCTCTGATGAAGATTAAAGGTGACCTGGAACCATAAGCTATAGCACTCCAACAGTGTGATGAACATGTCTTTCAACAAAAAACTGTGTATTCCTCCTTTCACCACGTCGCCTTCTAACCCTGGCACGACCATCGTGCATGCCTAAACAAAATCGAGACTCGTCACTAAAGACAACACTGTTCCATTCCTGATCCCAGAGTGACCGTTGTCTGCATCACTCAAGGCGATTACGTCGGTGTTCTCGAGTTAAAGGGAGGACCCAGTGTGGCCGGTATGAAAATAAGCCAAAACTTCTCATTCGTCGGTAAACACTTCGCATGCCAATAGGTCTTCCGTGTTCTGCAAACCATTCATTTGCAATGGACCTGGTAGTGGAGAAACGGTCCCTTAAGGCCAATAATCTTAGGCGGCGATCTTCACGGTCTGTTGTTCTACGGCGGCGTCCAGTGCCCCTTGCCCTTTGCGTACGGCCTTCTCGAAGCCATGCCTGACAACACCTAACCACAGTGTCTACACTTCTTTGCACTCTAACTGCAATTGCCCGAAAAGAAAGTCCAGCTTCCCGAAGTCCCACTATACGGCCCCTATCAAACTCACTAAGTTGACGAAATCGTACAGGTCTCCGTACTCTAGGCATCGTAACCGATCATAAAGGATGTCAAGAACCAAAATCCGCAAACGTTGATTCTTTACTGCGGCTGAAATATTCATTTTTAGAGCGTTAGTGAATTAAAAAAAAGCAGTATAAAAATTGGAATGTCCAACTGATAAGGCTGAAAATTTTTTCACTTGTTATTTACAGTAAGATAAATACATTCACCAACTTTTATTAAAAGAAAACCATTTAAACTGGGTGTTCGGATTTATATGTCACTTAGTATATTTAAACTATGATTTATGCTGAATACTCTTTTCTGTATGTTTTTAATGTATTTTCAAAATAGTCCTATAATTGGATTTCCATCTGTTGGACAATAAATTATCATTTCAAAAATTTATCAGTTGAGGGTACAATCAACATTTTTTCTGGAGGCAATTTTTAACTAATGAAAATTCCTTTTCAACTGTTTCCGAGTTTCCGATATTTTCATGGCGCAAGCACCTTGGATTCTGTGACATCTCATTTTTTAAATTTTCAGCTGATGTCTTCCCAGTGTGTAAGAAAAATGACGATCAGTGCCTTACAGCTGCCATAGAGAAAGCGCTACATTATCTTTGCGAGAACGGTAAGACTTTTATAGAGAGGGTACCTCAGTTATCCTATAAGAATAGCATTTATGCTAGTTTGTACTTGAATCTTGATTTCGTTATAATGCAGGTCTTCCTGAGCTAAAACTCCCCAAACTTGATCCAATTGCCATACCGGAAATATCCATCGGAACTAAAGGATCTGCAGCCGATATTTCTCAGAAGTACATTGACGTTAAGCTGCATGGCTTCAAAAAGGCGTCAGTAAGCAACGCTCAGTAAGTATTACAAAACGATTTTTTACCAATCACATCTTGAAACAGCGCTGCGAATACTCCTTTTAAAATATACCAGATATGACTTTAAAATAGATGCTAATAGGAGATATTTCCCCTTAGAGCAAATTATTTTATTTAGTCTTTAATCAATGGCAAGAGATAGTCTATTGATATTTTTATCATCTGCATTAAACCTATTGTATAACTATCAATACAAAAAATGACAGAAGGTTGAAGCAGAAAAGAATACATTAAATAATAATAATAATAATAATAAAATGTCTTTATTAGGCACATTATATACACCACAACATAATGTGACCTCTACGTAGGCGAAGTCTAGCTCTTGGCTACTCTCCTTAACCCACCCAAATACTAAATTGAAACACTCAATCAAAGGAAACTTTGACAAGCAAAAGACGCTTCAAAACAACGAGCTTGATAGCTTCTTAGCATACATATATACACACATATATTACGTAAAATAAAATAAAATGTAAGAATTAAAAACTAACTTTTCCACAATTACTACAATGACAAATAAATCTGTTTCACATGCTTACGAAATCTGTTTACTGGCCAATCCTTTATATTGTCATCTAATTCGTTATAAATCAGGATAGCATTGTAAGTGTATGAACTACGAAATAAAGTTGTTTTATACATAGGGATCTCTAGTCTTTTTTTGTGTCTGAAATCAATGTCTGAATTATTTCGTCTGAAAACAAATTTCTCATAAAGATACAAGGGGGATCTAGAAGATATGATCTTATGTGTAAACACTGCTATATGGTACTTGCAAGCATTTTCTATACACATCCAACCAAGCTGAAATCTCTTTAAGGAAACATGATCATACTTCTTGAGATTAAATACAAATCGACAACAAGTATTTTGGAGTTTTTGGAGTCTTGCTTTTGTGATAGAATCAAGACAATGATAGAACACAGTGCTACAGTAAAATAAGCTTGGAAATATAATAGCCTCACATAACTTTTTTCTAACTTTAAAATTCAAAATAGAGCGATTGACATAAAAACACTTCAACGTTGCATAACATTTTTTTAAGATAGACGAAACATGCTCCTTAAACCGTAAAGTATAATCAATAATCAACCCTAATTTTTTTGTAGTATTTACGACAGCTAGACGCTCCTTGTCGATTTTTACATCAAGAGAATTCAATACAGTGTTACGTTTGACAGCAGGACAAAAAAGCATCACTGAGCACTTATCCTTATTGAGCTTAAGATTATTACCATTTGAGTATCCTACTATTGCCTCCAAATCATCATTAAGCTCATTGATTGAAGTATGCAAAGTGTTACTATTAAAGCTTTTATATATCTGTGTATCATCGGCATAGCACATCACAGAAGAGTTTTTCACAGAGCTACCCAAGTCTATAGTATAAATTAAGTACAACAAGGGCCCTAAAACTGAACCCTGAGGGACACCTGATGTTATATCAATCGGACTAGATATAGTGTTGTCTATCTCTACTACTTGTTTACGATTTGAAAGATATGTTATAAAAAACATTAGAGGTATGTCTGAAAAACCAAAAAACTTCAATTTAGCACATAAAAGCTCATGATCTATTTTATCGAACGCCTTAGAATAATCTAATGATACAAGTGCTGAAGCATCTCCCTTATCAAGCGAAGCAATGATGTCATCTAAAACCCTTGCTAAAGCTGAAATTGTACTAAAACCACTGCGGAAACCAGATTGACACTTGGGAAAGAAATCATTATTAGAGAAATAATGATAAACCTGATGTTTAATCAATTTCTCCAATATCTTCGATATAACAGGAATCAAAGTTATAGGTCTTAAGTCTGAGAGACATTTTGGATTTTTACATTTAGGCAAGGGTTTGACAAGAGATAGTTTCCAAGCATCAGGGAAATACCCAGCCTCCAGGCAACAGTTCAATAAATGCGTCAGGGGTAGTAATACTCGAGGCAAGCAAAGCTTCAGCATTGAGACTGTTATACCATCCGAACCTGCTGCATTAGATTTTTTTTTTTTTTTTAAACTATGAATCATGAAATATTTTCGATTAATATATTGGTAATTAAATTTGTTGTAAACACAAGAACACGTGTTAGATAATGGATAAACCATTAAACTAGATAAAATACCGACTGCTCAAGAGATATCAAATAAAATAGCATAGTGATATAGGATAAATATTCCTAAAAAATAGTTACTGCATGGATTTAAACGTCTGAAATTCACTCGAGCATTTTGATTTCTAGCTTAGACTGGGAGAAGAAAAAACTAACGTTCACGGTCTTCGCACCTCAACTAGACCAAGTTTCTAGTTACGACTTCAATGGAAGAATTCTAATATTTCCTATACGAGGGCAAGGGAAAGCAGTATTATCACAATGTAAGTATCAACCTAATAATTATTCAATTTGATATAAACTCATAATTATGCTTTTTCAGGTTTCTGGTTTTCTAAATTCATACCTTTCAAAAATAGTGACCCAAATAATTTAATGCTCTTTCAGGTTTCGGGTGTGCTAAATTCATACTCCTTCAAAAAATAATGATTTTCTTAATTCAGAGGTATTGAAAACACACAAAAACAAAATTTGCTTTAAAACTGATAATTGATTGATGATTTCTGTCATAATGGTGTTTAAACACATTATTTAATTTTATATGATCATACAAATTATAGAAATGTGTAAATAATCATCATATGTAGCTTCAGAAGCATCCAAACTTTAGTGCAAAATTGTCAAGCACAAACATTTTATTCGAAATTACAATATCAAAGACCGAATGAATACCAACAGTCAAAGCCAACTCTGTATTGGGCAAAATATTCTACCCGCAGTTATACTAAGTGACATATAAATCCGAAGACCCAGTTTAAAAGGTTTTATTTTAATAAAAGTTGGTGAATGTAATTATCTTACTGTAAATAACAAGTGAAAAAATTTTCAGCCTTATCAGTTGGACATTCCGGTTTTTATACTGCTTTTTTTTAATTCACTAACGCTCTAAAAATGAATATTTCAGCCGCAGTAAAGAATCAACGTTGGCGGATTTTGGTTCTTGACATCCTTTACGATCGGTTACGATGCCTAGAGTACGGAGACCTGTACGATTTCGTCAACTTAGTGAGTTTGATAGGGGCCGTATAGTGGGACTTCGGGAAGCTGGACTTTCTTTTCGGGCAATTGCAGTTAGATTGCAAAGAAGTGTAGACACTGTGGTTAGGTGTTGTCAGGCATGGCTTCGAGAAGGCCGTACGCAAAGAGCAAGGAGCACTGGACGCCGCCGTAGAACAACAGACCGTGAAGATCGCCGCCTAAGATTATTGGCCTTAAGGGACCGTTCCTCCACTACCAGGTCCATTGCAAATGAATGGTTTGCAGAACACGGAAGACCTATTGGCATGCGAAGTGTTTACCGACGAATGAGAAGTTTTGGCTTGTTTTCATACCGGCCACACTGGATCCTCCCTTTAACTCGAGAACACCGACGTAATCGCCTTGAGTGGTGCAGGCAACGGTCACTCTGGGATCGGGAATGGAACAGTATTGTCTTTAGTGACGAGTCTCGATTTTGTTTACGCATGCACGATGGTCGTGCCAGGGTTAGAAGGCGACGTGATGAAAGGAGGAATCCACAGTTTTTTGTTATGGTTTGGGGTGCTATAGCTTATGGTTCCAGGTCACCTTTAATCTTCATCAGAGGTAACATGAACGCGCAGCGTTATATCCACGAAGTTCTAGAACCCCATCTTTTACCCTATCTTGACACCCTGGCAGATCCAACTTTCCAACAAGATAATGCCCGAGCACATGTTGCAAGAGTCACAATAGACTTCTTTCAACATAATGATGTCTCATTGTTACCATGGCCACCAAGATCTCCCGACTTATCCCCAATTGAGCACGTGTGGGATATGATGGGTAGGAGATTGCTCAATTTGCAACGTCCTCCTCAGACTCTAGAAGCACTTCGAGAGAAGTTGGTGGTTGCCTGGAATAAGATACCACAGGAGGACATTCACCACCTGATCAGAAGCATGCCTAGGCGCGTTGGAGAATGCGTAGCATATCAGGATGCATCCACACATTATTAAAGGTCAAAGGGCTTTAAAGCAGTGCAATCATTTTGAAATTTATATCATTAAGTACTTATACAAAATTTTATTAAAATAAAACCATTTAAACTGGGTGTTCGGATTTATATGTCATTTAGTATATTTCAGTGTGGCCAGTAGGCTTTGTGTTTTGACAGATCATAATAATGTCTTTGCGGTCCAACAAAAAAAAAACACAGGTAACAAATATCGCTGGCCGACAAAGCTTATCCTATTTTTTTTACAAAATCGTTAGATTGATGATTTAAAAAATCTAAATATTTGAGTTTCGACCCACAACGTTTTATAATTTTTTTTTGTAAAAAGGGAGACTTATAGTGAATGCAAGGACATCAAAATGCGTTTTCAGCAGAAGGAATTATTATACAGGGTGTCCCAGAAGTCGACGTCAAGCCGAAATCGGGTGATAGGCAAAGTCATAACAGCTATCAGGAAAATATTTAAAAAAATTTTATGTATGTGTTTTGAAAATTATAGGTCTTTGAAAAAGATATAGAAATTTCACACCCTACGGCAGTCTGTCAACTCCTGTTACTACAAATATTAACTTTTTTTGGATTTTATTTTTACAATGTAATGATGAATAATGGATCTTCAAACTGGTGTCTCAACCTTACTGCCAACTTTTCTCGTTCAGGAAAAATTGCCAATTTTCCCAACCAAGTATTCCAAAGTAAAACTTTGCTCAACTTTAACTGGCTGTACTGGAAAAAATGTACTACGAGAGTTTGGCAAGTAACCTTAAAAGTTGGCGCACTTAATAACGATTCCAAAATGGTATAACACTTAGAAGATTACTCGTTAACTTATGCACAATTTTTATTTGAAAAAAAACTGATGAAGATTTTTCGAAATTTCCTAATTAAACAGCGATTATGAAAACGCACAAGGACCCTTAAGGATAATTGTTTGCACAACAGTGGGCGTCAAAATGCTGCTGATGATGATTTACCTATACAGCAAATGCTCAAAGTGTTTTCCTTCAGCCGCAATACACGGTCGATATCTTCTTAAAAAAGATCGGGTTATTAAACGAGCGAATCCACGGTTATTAACAAACTCAGCTGCTTCCAATAGTCTTTGCCGTAGCTCAGCTACATTTTGAATCGGCTTGAAATACACTTTTTCTTTTACAGTTCCCCAGTAAAAAAATCTAAAGGATTCAAATCAGGTGATCGGGCTGGCCACGGTATTGTACCAGACCGCCCTATCCATCTGCCTGGAAAGTTTTGATCGAGATACTCTCTCACTGAGAGTGCATAGTGCGCTGGGCAGCCATCATGCTGAAACCACATGTCCCTGTAAATACTCAGTGGCACGTCCACCAATAAATTTTGTACATGATTTTTCAAAAAATCCAAATAAACTTCAGCAGTCAAAGTCTCTGGGAACTCAAACGGACCGATTATTTTACCATTTAAAATTCCTATCCAATGGTTTATCTTGAAGCGATTTATCTTCTACGTGCCACTCGTGTAAGTTATGCAGGTTCATGTACCCATCTTTCTTAAATGTGGTCTCATCCGACCATAAAATTTTTTCAAAGAACTGTGGATCTTTCCTGTGTCTTTCTAACATTGTGCGACAAAAAGCAACTCGGGGCTCATAATCCCGGGGCAGGAGAGGTTGAACACGCTGTATGTGGTATGGATGAAGCACATCAATTACTTGCTATTGCACACTTTGATACCGATCAGTACTCCTTCGTTTACTGCGTATCTTTACATGTTCGTGCTTGTTGATTTCGTACTGTTACTAATTTTGGATTCGTGAACTGGACTGTTGATCGCTTGTGATTTGAATTTGGACTGTTTAATTGCTCTTCAAAACAACATTTGCTTTCCTTAGACTATCTTTGATAGTGTGATTGTGCAGTGCCGCTATGTCCGTGTACACCGTACAAGAATATGCTAACATGCACCTCATTTATGAGGAATGCAGATGCAACGCTAGTGCTGCAGCGAGACTTTACTGTGAGAGGTACCCGAATGCAGTTCGTCATCCAGATCATCGAGTGTTCACAAATGTGCACCGCTTACTGTTCTCAGAGGGCCAACTACCAAACCAATCACACGGTGAGGGAAGATCTTTCCTTCCTTACGAAGACGTGGTGCTAGGAGCTGTCGAAGAAGACCCGAGTACTTCAGTGCGTGCAATAGCACTAAAAACAGGTGTGCCCAAAAGTACAGCCCATAGAATCTTGCAAAAAACGTGCTCCATCCATACCACGTACAGCGTGTTCAAGCTCTTCTGCCCCGGGATTATGAGCCCCGAGTTGCTTTTTGTCACACAATGTTAGAAAGACACAGGGAAGATCCACGGTTCTTTGAAAAAAATTTATGGTCAGATGAGACCACATTTAAGTAAGATGGGTAGATGAACCTGCATAACTTACACGAGTGGCACGTAGCAAACCCACATTTGATGAGAGAAGATAAATCTCAATATCGCTTCAAGATAAACCATTGGACAGGAATTTTAAATGGTAAAATAATCGGTCCGTTTGAGTTCCAAGAGACTTTGACTGCTGAGGTTTATTTAGGTTTTTTGCAAAATAATAATAATAATAATAATAATAATCGTCTTTATTGACCAAAAACATGGTACATTACATGGGGCGAGATTTAGCACCTGCTATTCCACCATCTAACCCCGTACAAAAGTGAAAAAAAAAACAAGTTATACAAAAACAAACAAAAAAAAAATGTGAAACTACAAACATTAAGTCACAGTATAATAGGACTATTTGTGCCAATTTAGCTATAAAAAGAAGAAGAGATAATAGGTTATGAAGAAACGGAAAAATAATTAATGAAAAATACAAAAAGTATGAAAATGAAAGAACTTCTTAAGCTAGCGGTTGTTTTGCAATTCTTGTAAATATCTTTTTAACTGAGTTTTAAAACTCCGGGAGGACTGGATAGTCTTCAGATCCTGGCTTAAGCTATTGTAATATAAAATTGCATTGTATGTGAAAGTTCGTCTAAAAAGTGATGTGCGGTGTATTGGCATAGTTAAGGTGTCACGGTTACGAACCTGAAGATTATGCACAGACGCCCTTGGAACAAGTTTACAGCTGAGGTATTGAGGGGATGATGTTAGTATGATCCTGTGAGTAAAGCTGATAATGGAGTATTTGAAAAGGTTTTGAACGCTTAGCCATGCAAGATTACGATACAAGTGTGATACATGATCGAACTTTCTTAGGCCCTCGATAAACCGTACACAGGTATTCTGCATTATCTGCAAACGTTTTGCGTTAATAG